AAAATGTCAGATTTCTGTTTACTGGAATAAGTCTCTCTTTGTACAATTAAGATTCCACTTTAAGAAATTCCGGTAGAAATCAATGCATTTTCAAATGCATATTAGCAAAGCAGAAAATAGTATTTTATTGATGTTCTTCACACAACAAACAATGGTTCCAAAACAAAATGTTATGTTAAATCAAGCTGACTACTTTGTCCCCATTCTCGTCAGGGCCCGATGGCTTCAACATATACAGACTCCCTCTATCCCATTCATGAGTGCACGCGTACAAACACACTCATATACATATATATTCTGTTTGCTGCACAATTTTGTGTCTGGAAAACTAAGCCATTCATGCAAAATTGGACCCAAATGTATTAAGCACTTGGACCTCAACCAATATCCTTGCACCAAATCATTATTTTATTGCTGCTCTTGGCATAGCACATAATGGTTCAAAAAAAAGTTATGTTAAAACAAATGTACAGGGAAATATTGTTTAGCTGTTCTTGTTTCCCCAAATTAATCTTCTTAAGGATTAGAATAGAATAGAAAAAGGAGTGTGAACATGTGACTTATACACTGTGTTCATCTCTTGGTACGAATCCAGCCAAGACTGATGGAATAAAGGCTTCTCCTCACTCTGATGATTATAGATGTGAGTATAAAGTCATATAAATTTATATGAAGCATATCACAGATTTACAGAATAAAACATGCTTTCTCTGGTTCAGCGGGCTCCGACCTGCTCCATGTCTCCCGCCCGACCCACCCTACCATTGGTGGCCGGGCTTTCAGTCTCTCTGCCCCCACACTCTGGAACTCCATCCCACGGTCCCTTCTCCTCGCTTCCTTCCTTGCCTCCTTCAAGGCCGGTCTCAAGACCCTTCTCTTCAACCATGCCTTTGCTCTCCCTCCCACCTCTCTGCCTTCCCTCACCCCTACACCATCCCTCCCCCATGCTCGGGCCCAACACCTGACTGTTCAGAGCTTTGGTACATCCTCCCAACATGAAAGGCGCTCTAGAAATGTAATTTTGTTGTTGGTGGTGGTGGTGGTGGTGCAAAATGGATGTAAAATGAATAGTCAGATTTGGATTAGTGGTTTTATCACCCAAGCAAAATAACTGCTTCCCATTGTAGAAATTACCTTTATCATAACAGTAAGGCAGTTTCAGGATGGCTGAACAAAAAAATAACTGAATAGCATAATTGTGTTATCTCTAGAAGAGCGAATTATCTAAAACAGCATCCTGTAGAATTGGACCATTGCTTTTCTGAAGAATTATTAGTATACAGTATAAAGTATTCATTTATTGAATCACACTACAAGCCATGCATAGTTATTTTCTATGTCAATGCAGTGAAGACTCAACCCAATGCCAGGAAAATAAGAATTTTTTTTAATCCACATTATCAATATGTACAAGATGACCCAAATTACTTTGAAGTGTGCAATAATTGAGTTGACAACTAAATAGTTAAATAATGAAAATGTGAATTTGAACATCCAGGAAGTCATCCTCCAATTCACTGCAAATCTAGTTACCTTGACAGCAAGCCCACATTATTCTTCACTTATGAAGACTTGTGGAAGGACCTTGGTGGTTTGAGCTCACAGTGGGATTTTCTGTTATAAGCGCTTTCAGAATAGCACAGAACAAAGGAGAGAAACTTTTCAGAAGAGAAAGGAAAACACTTTGAAAAAATACTGTTTTTTTTAAATAAGATTAATCATGGAAACTAAAAAAACACAGCAATTCTAATCAAGGGTAAAAATAAACCAACAGCAAATATTGAGCCCCTCTCAGTTACTTCAGCAATTCATGTATTGTTCATTAGCTGTATCAGGGCAGTGACAGCAATCTGCCTGTAACAGTTTGCAGTTGCATCTGCATCCACCAACCAGTATTGTACTTAGCAATAGCAGTGATTCAGAATAATATAACAATCCTTGCCTTATCATGTTGTCAAAACAAGTGCTTCACAGGATTTTACTGTAAAATATTGTGCTTGGGCATTTCTGGGCTAACACAGCAGACAATTTGCATACAGCAATGATCAACAAACAGCCATGAAGTAATGACCCATTTTATTTGGGGGATTGTTGACCATGATATTGGGACTGTTTACTTTTCAAATAAGGCATGGGATCTTTACCACCCAGCTGAACAGACAGACCTGAAGGACAATACTTACAAGGCTCCCCAATACTGCAATGAACCTAACGATGCATTTAAAGTCGCGATGTGGTGCTTGGACCTACAACCTTCTGACTGTAAAGCAAGAGTAATACCAACTGACCAGGCTGACACGAGTGAGTAAGAACAATAAGAAAAGATGTTTGGCAATGCCATGAACAGTAATGCAAGAATTAGCAATTCCTTGTCCAGCTTCCTGTGGATAGTTTTGCCTGGTCTGGGCTACTGGAAGAAGGGTTGTCACTTCTAACAGGAAAACAATTTACACTTGCCACTCTCAATTGGCTAGAGATTCATTGGTTCTTGCCAGGAGGAGAAGAAGAGCTCTAAGGCAGGCACAACTAATACTCGCTAACCAGCAAAGAAAGCAGGTTGCTTTTTAATGCTATCAAAGAGCTAGGAGTTGGTCTATTAGGCCACCCAAGTGCTTTTAAGGAGCTAGTTTTGAGTAGAGAATAAATCAATTTGCACTTGCACTTATAGAACAGTCATGGAGATCTATTTCCTGGCAAATCTACCTCCTCAAGATAGTCTTGGCAGCCAGTCTGCAGCTTGAATCTCCATATCTCATCCCTGACTTATACTAGCTCATTTCTTGCGCCCATTTGGCAAGATTTGTACACCAAAATTGGCATTAAAAACACAATATAAACTAGTTCACTAGTATCACTAGTTCAAAAAAAATTGAATAAATATCTAAAGTCTGTATTCAGACCGTTAAAAGATCAAACAGTGCATAAATGACAACATTTTTCTATTTTCCCCTCTTTTGGGTAATACCACATTTAATAGGTAAGAATATCAAAAATCTCTGAAAAAACAAATGAAATCTAATGAGGACCCAGCACCGGTCTTCTTCAATATGTTCAATATACTCATATCTTTACTTTGTTGTATTACGGAGCAGCAAACATTAGATTCATCCAAATTGTGTATGCATCCATGCTTTATTTAATACAAATGGGGAAACTTCTCCCTTATTAATTCAGTACTTAAGGTTACACTGAGAAGAAAGAAAAGAATTTTGCTTATCAGCAGAATGTTCAAACAGGGAAAAAAAAGCCAAAAGCAAAATCCATTTTAACAACCTCAAAAGTAAGTATATCATACATTCCTCATCTATCTCAGGGAGCGAATAAGCAACTCATTATATTCCAATTCTCTCAGGATCTTATTGGGATTTCATCACCTTGTCAGGACTGAAGCTCCCATTTCGATATTCACTGATGACCTGGACAGATCACAAAGATTCGGCAGGCAGAATTTACAGAAACTCTATTTAAAAAGGTGCTAAAAATGTCGCAGGACTGAAAAAAATAACACATGTACACTTTCACTACAATTATACCCTCAGCATAAACTTACATTTACTTTTTTTAAAAAGTAAAGTAGAAATCAATTTAACAACAACGAAGTTACATTTGTATAGCGCCTTTCACGTCGGGAGGACGTCCCAAGGCGCTGGAAAGTCAGTGTTTTGGACCCGAGCTGAGGGTCGGGACTGGGGAGGTTGGCAGTGAGGGGGTCAAGCAGGGTGATTGAAAGAGCAGTCGAAGAGGAGGGTCTTGAGATGGGTCTTGAAGGAGGCAAGGGAGGGAGTGAGGCGAAGGGACTGCGGGATGAATTCCAGAGGGTGGAGGCAGAGTGGCAGAATTTAATTATTGTTTAGTGATACCAAAACATTGTGATACCATTACAATGTCTAGCAAGTCTTAAAGAAATGATAATATATATATATTTTAGATAATAGGGTAGATATCACAACTTTTTGGTCACTCTGTATTTTAGCATTAACAACGTTATTTATATCGGTTCAGATAGGGCAGAACTAGCTAAAGTAATAGACCCGGAGTCAAAAATGACTCTTACCAGAACTATTAGAGCTGTACATGATTATTTATCAATTCAGATCATCATTTTTATTCTATACACAACCTCTTTGAAACAACAGCCAGTTGCAGTAAGAACCCAGAGCAGCTGAACAAATGAGATTCAGAGACAGATTCCTAACACAGCAGTTTGATAACAGATGCACTCTTAACAAAACACCACAACTTACAAAGCATATTTTGCAATAGAAATACTAGGCGCTTGCAGCCCATATCCTACAACCCACTTATTACTGAGATGATTGGCACAACATCATGCAGATCTACTATGTCACTGCTGACCCTGCACAATACAAGACTCTATCCAGCATGCTATGAATTCACCAGTTATTTAGCAGATTCTTGTATGACGTTGAAATATTAGCACCATGCGGAGAATTAGGACTATGTCATATTGCGAGCACAATTACAACCAACGATCACACTATCCAGAGAGAGTGCTTGTATCTATTTGCAGCATGCACGATCATCAGATTTTCTGTTGTTAGTATTTTTGTGCTTTATTGGAAGCTCCCAGCCTCATTCGATGGCAAACACATGAGAATACTTACTGAACAACTCAGCTACACCCAATACCAATGAAGATACACCCCACTTATGCTTGTAACTTAATTGTGCACTTCAGTCTTATTGCACATCTTACAAAAATAATTATCTTGCAAGCATTTATCAGCTACTGACCAACTCAATGTGTTTTTGGAAGATTGTCATTACTGGGTATGGATTGTAGTTGAGAAAAAGTTAACTACATGGTTATAGATTCCATTGGAAGTGCAAGTGCTTGGAAATCAAATAAGTTTGAATGAGAAGCAGGACATTTATTAATTCAACCATTTTTTTAACAATGTATAAACTGACAATTGCAGAAGGAAAGCACCTTTTTGATTCTGCTAATGCCCCAGATTAATGATGAGGTTTCCACTTACCTGCAGGGAATTGAGAATCACAAAGATGTACGCCATTACAACAGAGAATGGAACAAGCACTCCACAAAGCCATGTCAGCCCAAGAATGGGCAAAAGCACCAGCACAGCTTTCATAGCAGCCCTGAAAGATAACACTGCATCAGAATTAAATCAACTCAGAACATCTCCCTAAGTAGCATTTCACTGTACCTAAAAGCTTGAAGCAATAAGAAGCAACATTGATCCAAAAGGCTGTGTTAACTTACTTTACCTGAGTTCATTTAGAAACTAAGGAGAAAAGTGGGCAATGCTCTCAAAACTTTCAGGTATTGCTTCTTGTGAAATCTTTTTTTTTCTTTTGGTCAGCTGGGAAACCCATCACCGTGCTTACGAGTATCCAAACCAAGCTGAGATTTCCATGCATCCCATCTATACATGGAAATCCCAGAGATAAATTGTTGGGATGGAATGCATACTCTCTCGCCTCAGAGAGAATCCTGTTGACCAGCACTATGGACGGCAGCTCCAAGGCGAGTTGGAGGTTTGTGTCTTGGATTGTAAGATCCTCACTGTTCCTCATCTACTGCCTCAAAGCAGCTTTTAGGAATACTGCATTGATGCCATACCCACCAGCTGCCTTGCCATCGCCAACATGCCTCAGTGTGGAGTCCACCTCCTTTCAGAGGACTGGGTCATTAAGGACACATTTCCCACCAGCTCTTCCAGCCTCCATGCAGATGGATCTCTGCTACAGCTTATTGGGGTCAGACTCCAACTCCGCATAATGTTCCCTCCAGACCCCAAGGATAACCTCATGAGTCTGTTGTAAACACTGAACTTGTCCAATACTAACAAAGGCCCAGAGGGTGCCTTCTGATCATGGCCAACAAGACACATCAGCCAGCGGGAGAAAGGGTTGGGATTGTCCTTGTGTATTTACACCCCCTTTCGGAGTGACACAGCCCATTGACACAGCTTCATTTCTCTGAAGCCTTTCCTAGCTTTGTGCCGTGTGTTTGGTCATAACTTGCCTATGCTGCAGTTTTAGTTTACTCCGAGGAAGCTTCCAAACCCGCTTTAAAAGCCTTCTGCTTTCGCCTAATAGCTCTCCTTCCCCTTGTCGTCACCTTGAACGGGTCTGGGTTCCGAGATGGTTGCTTTGCAGGCTGCAGCTTCAGTTTCTTTACAACAACTTTGTGAGATACTGGAGAGGTGCACATGCCTTTTGCAAGCTTATTTAATACTGCCATCTAGAGAGATATGATAGTATCTACATAACATTTCTCACCTGATTTGATCGTAGGCTTGCTCTATAGGACTGCTGTTGATAGCAAGCATAATGGCCCGTCGCTTAGCAGTTGACATGGTGATCATCACAACTCGTGTCAGCACAAACATGTTCACCTGGGTAGTAATAAATGACTGGATTTTATTAAAGTTATAAAATATATTTGTGCAAACATTCCTGGGCAGTAAGGTCCAGCCATACCTTTCAAGCTAAGATGCAGCAACATTCCTCGTGAAACTGTAAACTTTTTTGGGGTACTTTGCGGAAATGTTAAGCAATAACGTTCAGTATTATTTCCTGTAGTTCCAAAATAATCTCAGAATTTCAAATGAACAACACTTAGATAAAGAACCCATCCAATATTAAACCAGAAGGGCAGTGCAGCTAGAGCATACAGAAAACCACATTATATTGTCAGAGAGAAAACAATGCATACATTGATAATACATAGAGAATTAAATATTTCCCTGCATTTTAGTGGAGCATATTAGAAAAGATATATAATAATAATGCTTGCATTTGATATAGTGCCTTTCACGTGATTGAGAAGTCTCAAAGTTCTTCACAGAATATACTGTAAAGTATGGGTGAAACGCGATAGCCAATTGCGCACAGCAGTATCCCACAAACAGTCATGGATTGAGTGGCCGCATTATTATTATTTATAGTATATGATATCCAGCTAGATAGTCATCAGATTCAAGCCAGGAAGAAAGAACAGCCTTACGATTACAAATCTTACTGCTTTTTTCACAAAGCAGATATATTTATTTAACATGAAGGTTTTAGATTTTTGAGTTAATTTTTTAAAAAAAGTTTCTTACCATAATGATGAAGATAACTGGCCCAACAAACGCCCAAATAACACCATTTTGAACATTCAGCCAACAATGTCTATCTCCAACGTACTTGTCATGAGCTGCAGCCAACGTGATGCTGACTATTAGGAAAGGCAGACCTAGAGCAAAACAAACACACAATTATTTCTAAGCGGAGTTGATAACCCCAAAACACGGCAATTTCAACCAGGAGTTCATAATACGAACTCCATTCCATATTGCACATCAGTTTAAATATTAGATCACATCCCCTCTCATTCTTCTCCACATTTCTAAATTCAGTCATGAATGGAATCATTCTCGATACTTTTCTCTGAACTTTTTGAAGAGCATCGATGTCCTTTTAAAGATAAATTGTTCAGAACTGAACATAACAGTGAGTTATGCAGGGCTAAAATAACCCATTTCAACTTATAATTGAGCACTTAAGATGCATCCTAGTACTTGATCAACCCTGATAACAACAGGTTCAGAATGACTGAATACACCATTAATTTCTTAGACATGTTTTACTTTTTTTCCCCCAACATTCATTAACTTACATTTATCCACATTAATATCCATCTGTCCTTAGCTTCTCCAAGGAACCTGTCCAGATCCCTTCAAACACTATGAGTCTCCTTCATACTAACCACCCAACCATAAACTTGAGAGCGATCAACAAGTTTCATATTAGACGTAGCCTCTTCCTCATCATTATTATTTAAAGGTCTAATACATAATAGTTCATAAAATAAAATCAAACCTTTAAGCATATTAAATAAGAAAGAGTCAGCTCTGAAATGAAACTGAAAACATAAAAATAGTGATGCAAAATTGTTTAAAAGCCCATTTTCTTTGGTGTGATAGAAATTAAACTTAAAAGTGTGATCAATTGTAAACTGGGTCTAATACCCCCACATCTTCCTTATAAAGTTTTAACACAATGGCTTCCAATTGCATCTACTTAAGCAAGGTATGAATCTTGTGTATAATTTTGAGCAAACGCTATCTGGAGATTGTGCATTCCAGATTAATTTTGTCTAATTTAAATGGCCACGACAAAATTTAAATGAATTTTAGTAAAACCCACATATGGAGGCAGAACAGATGCAAACAAATGTTATTAATTGAGGCTGAGAAATTCTTCTTACCATCAGCTGTAGTGACTTTGACTGGGGCTTATAATGAAATCTTCCTATTAATAGCACAGAATGTCAATGTTTTTACACTTAGTAACAAGAGGAATTACACCCTCGTAAATTACTGTAGCTTGCTTTCACATGACCTACCCCAGCCAACAAGGTAATAATATTTCATCCTCCGTTCCTCACTCAGATTGACGGTTACCACTTTACTCCACAGGAGGAGACCTTCCACCATCATCCAGGCGAAAGCAGCCATGAAGAACAAATGCAAAAGAGCAGCAACTATAACACAGGCCACCTGCAAATGAGATGCAACACATGACCTCAGGGGGTATTTTCATCTGTATCCGTTATAATAATGTAAAAATCCTTGCATTTGATATAACACCTTGTTACGGTGAAACGTTTCAAACCAATTACTGTTAAGTGTAGTGACTGTAGGTGAACATGGCAGCCAATTTGTGTAGCTAGTATCCTCAGCTTACCTTACTGCTTGTGGCTGAGTCACTGCTGAGCAACACCACTTGTGCTGCAATCAGTGCTATAAATAGATTCTTGTGAATGGAGGTTCGATCGGATTTTGGAATGCTGGAAAAACAAGAAATCACGGGAAAACAGCAATGGATAGATAGTCTTATGACTATGCATATTAAAGCCATAAACTGGTTGCTTTACAGTTGAATATATACTATACAAAATTAGTTACTTTCAATTATTTCCTACATAAATACTAATAATTGACTTCATGTTTTCAATGTACAGTTTTGCTTAAATGTAAAAGACACTGTATAAATAACCAATAAGAAAAAAGCTATGAACTACACAGAATTCGATATACAATCGCAAATGGAATACAACGAGCATTTCGCAGCTTCCTGTATACAATACAAAATTATATTTGTATAGCGCCTTTCATGCCAAGATACAGCAGGTATAGCAGGTACAAGTTGTCTCTGACAAATGTTTTAATTATTTTTATTTCACATTACTAGAGACTATTGCCAGCATGGAGCATGTGCTTAAATACACTTGGGTGTACCATCTGAGCTGCTTTTCAAGTCTCTGAACATGTGGCTGGCTATTATCTGCAGAACTCCCAACACATAAAATAGATTTTAAGGTCACGGTATAGTCCCATAATATGAATAATTTGTTCTGTAATTTACTTCAGTATCACAACACTTTTGCCATCAGAGACTGCAAAGAAAACATCCTTGTACAACAACAGTACTGTACAGGTCAGAAACACTAGTTATGAAGGACAATTAGCTGTGAATTGGATGACTATAGAGGGCTGTATTCTCTAGAGTACAGAAGAATTAGGGGGGATCTTATCGAAACTTATAAGATTCTTAAAGGGCTGGATAAAGTAGACACAGAGGAACTGTTTCCCCTGGTAGGAGAATCTATAACCAGGGGTCACAGTCTTAAAATTAAGGGTCAGCCTCTTAGAACAGAGTTGAGGAAACATTTCTTCACTCAGAGGGTAGTGAACTTATGGAATTCACTACCCCAGAAGGCTGTAGATGCTCAGTCCTTGAACATTTTCAAGGCTGAGACTGATAGATTCTTGAAAAATAGAGGGATTAGGGGATATGGGGATAGGGCAGGAAATCAGAGTTAGGTGAGAAGATCAGCCATGATCTTATTGAATGGCGGAGCAGGCACGAAGGGCCGAATGGCCTACTCCTGCTCCTAATTCTTATGTTCTTATGTGATGAATCTCATATCACACCCCTCTCAATGTCTTAATGATGGGCCGTTTGAGACATAAAGTAGCAGACTTATCCATCCACTTACTCAAGCACTGTGAAAAGAGTCAGGGTCACGACTAAGGCGCAAAGTGAGGCTCCGGATCCAATGAATGTTAGTTTGTTCAATATACTCTCAACCTCCAGGCTCCACTGCAGGAAGCAATAAAACAAAAGATCATCAGGAGTATTGGTTTGATACATCGGGTTACATTTATAATTATAAAAGCATTGCACAATTCTCCCAATTCTTATCAACTAGAACAACGTGATGATAGTCGTAACACAGCAAGACATTCATTTGGACAACAAGCAACAAAAGCAGCCTCAATAACATTGTTCTGTTGCTTAGCAAATAAAAGTTGTTCCATTTTGTTTTGTTATGCCAGGGCTTGACATAGCAGCAGAAATATATCGTCAGTCAATGTGAAATGTACACAGTGTGAATATTAGTCTGTTACTATATTTTAAAAAAACATGGGTTTTACCACATTAAATTAACTAAGGTGTTAGGACGTGTCATCCTATTGATATGTTTTTAAAAATGACAAATATCTTCAATGAAAATTAGTCAACATGCCACACATAGTGAAATCTCATTGTTATTATTATTATTATTATTATTATTATCCCCAATTGTCATAGAATCTATTCAAATGTCAGGAAAACCTCAGTGATTCAATCCAGCCCAAGGAGCTGCACATGTGCAGTACTGTATAATTTAGTCAGTCCTATATTGTATCACTCAACTTCAACAATACCTCCTTTAGCCTGCAGTAATTACAAGGAAAAGATAACTGATTGCAAGTTCTCACACATTACATTAGAGAAACTGTAAGTTCCCTTTTACAATCCCGCGTACTGCAAACTTACCTGCATTTCTGTGAACTGCAATAGCACTGCAAAGTTGGTTGTGTGGTTGCAAAAGCAGAATGTGATCTCAGGTTCAAACTGAATCACTTGACAACCTTGCCTTGACCATCCAGCAAAATGTCCATTCCTGAGAAAGAGTCACAAAAGTCTCCAACATCAGTGGAAATAAACTTCAAAGCTTAGTATTCAGTGATCAAGTTTTTTGATGCTAGATGTTCATAGACCTATTGTTTATTAAAATAGCACAAATTGATTCTAGAAGAACTGATTTTGATTATTGGGAGAGTGTCACTTATCTGTTATCGGAAAATCTTTTTGGAAATCAATTCGCTGATGGCTATAATATATACTGTACGTATATATATACTTACGTCTTTAATTGAGACATCTTTATCCTATCGCTGATAAACACCCATGGAGCAAACTGATCTCTACAATGCATTTGCAAGGGTACTTACTGGAGACTGAAATTCCAGAAAACACATTCTGGTGTGACAAACTTCGGAAATCCGACCTTTCAAAAGAAATGGGAAGCAAATGCTGTGAAACTAGTCAAACCAGAATCCATGCTAAACAACAGTGTTACTTTGTGACATACAATTACATAGAATAGAAACAGGCCGTTTGGCCCAACTAGTCTGTGGTGTTTGTATTCCACATGAACCTCCATCCCTCCTATTCCCCTCCACCATACTCCTCGATTCCCTTCTCCCTCATGTATAAATAGGGTTGCTTCCCTCCCACCCAACCATGTTTCATGTAATTCTATGTAATCATGATCAGTGATGCAAAGACCACTTGTATGCTTAGGTTTCCTGGAGAAGAAATGCCAATCTGCTTACCAGAGCCCCGTGTGACAGAGAGTATTGCACTGCAATGGGTAGGTTCCTTGCTGTGAGAGGGTCACGCACAGTTGATGAGATAACAGCTGTTCCTAGCTGCCTGCTTTGCAAACTGGAATCATAAATTACATTGGTTGTTCATAGTGCAAGAATCCCAGAGACAGTAGAAAGGGATTGCAGTGGATGGTGACATCTGATCTGAAGCTATGCTGTGTTGTGTGATAAGTGCTTACAATTCCTATTCATGCCTACAATTCCAATACAACAAATCAATTTTCATTATACTAACTTTCTAATTCAGTCACATGAATGAAATGTATTACAATGATCAAAGTATAAAACGCTGCCTAATTATTTTTTCTGATTGCTCAGCACATTGAATGTTCTCAAGCCAGCTCGCCTTATTTTACACACACTATTAACTTCTTGTGAAATGTTTTATGATAAAGTGCCTTCATCTGAATTCACATTCAATATGAGAGATTAAATGGATGGAAAAACAAACTTCTCTATATATGTATGTGATGCATAGAAATCCTAATTCAAACATGCCGTGTGAAGACACAACATTACAACAAGATCGTAAGCGGTTTGGATGAAGAAGTCTCTTCTGTTCATTTGATCTTAATATTCCAAAATACCCATTCTACTGTCTTCCCACTACAGCATCAAGCTGTTTCTTAAATGACTCTCGTGTCTAATTATCTCAACCACCCTTCCATTACAGATAACCATTCCATTATCATTAACCATTTAATTACAGTCTACCCCTCCATTACAGGTATATATTCCATTACAATTAACCATTTCATTGCAGTCCACCCTTCCATTACAGTTAATTGTTCCATTACATTTATTAATTTCCTTCTGTGTAAAAAAAATACATTCTAGTTCGTACGGTAAAAATTCCCTTTATAACCCTGAGCCTGTGCCCATTTCTCCTGCTGCCTTGGCCATTCTGAAAGCATTGCTCCAGGTTTATTTTCTCTATCAAGTTAAGCACCTAATATGTCTCTAGAAGGTCTCCCCTGAAGTGTCTCTTTCAGTGTCTGAAGAGCTCTGGTTTAACAAGTTATATTTGATAACTCATCCCTCTAACATATTAACCATGTGGCTCTCATGCCTCTGGGTATCTGCATAGCCCCCTAATGTTGCAGAGATCTGAAATACATGCAGTAATTCTAGAAGGAGCACTGCAAACCTTCCCAGGCTACAAGTATGGTACAACGTCATTTGACTTCTACAGGAAAACAATATGAGCATTCACAGCGTGGAGGTTAACACAATGTGATCTCTAGATGTTTCATGTTACAGTAACTTGCTAAACATTTGAGAGGATGTCACAATATCAAATCTCAAGTGGTCTATTAAGATCAACTGAATGCCCTGCAGCACTCCCTGGATTGTTGCTATTTATAACATAGAAAAACAGGTTTTTTTTAAATGCAATTTTCATAGCAAGTTAAAGATGTTATTTTTATAGCAGAGGTAAACAGTGACAGATGATCATTGGCTTCAAATGTACATGATTAGACATGGGAAGAGGAATTATTTTGCTCTCTGTTACAAGGAACACCGCAGCCTCTAAATGTTGTAATAGCAGAATAACTTTCTAGCTTCATTTATTCACAGGTAACATAATCTTACCTACTCCCTGATTTTGCAGCCAGCAATACAGAGTCGGGATTGTAAAGGTGCTCCAGACTCCTGTAGTAAGCATGTATAAATATCAATTCACTGTACCCTAAAGAAATGAGAGTATTTTTAGCCACTTTTTTTTCACAAGACATGTTTAGTAGCAAAGCCTTTTAGCACCACCATCCTGACAACTCAAAACATGGCACCCTGAGAGCTATAGCAAAAATAATAGTAATTTGGTCATTTAATTCACAACTCTTTGTGGGACACTGCTGTACACAATTGGCTGTGCTTCACCCACAAAATATACAATCAATTCACTTTACAGTATATACTGTGAAGCGTTTGAGATGTCTCGAAGACGTGATAAGGCGCTATATCAAATGCAAGGATTATTATTGTTGTAGCTTAGAAGGGAAAACAACTCTACGAATAATGCAAATCAATAAGATGTCCATTTCCCACCCATACCTTTCCCTTTAACTTAACTCATTTCATCTGTAGACAAAGGGGTATTGGAAATGTTTGATTCAACAGAATCCTGAAACACTAAAAAAAATAAAAAAGTGCTGATGGTCAGAACGCAACAAGAGCAAAACTAATTGAAACGAATGAAACAGCACTAATAAAAATAAAGCTGCTGAATGTTTACCCACCTAAGGTCAGAAGCCGCAGTACCTCAAAGTTTGGGATCTGGACTTCATCAGCTCGATTTCGAGCTGAAATACACGCAGGTTTGTAAACAAGGCCACTTTCCAAATTAGGCAACTTCTTTGTTGTAATCTGCAAATCTGCATAGGTTGTATCAAGATAATTATAAGCAAAACATTGAATATATTTTAACAGCTATTACAGTGTAAAAGTTCATCTGTGCAACATACCTATGACAACATGGTGAACTTCTTTGATCATCGCACAGGGGAAAAAAACACTAAAAGTAATTTATGTGTATGACTGACACCGCATATTATATTACTTCGATGTGTTTTATCTTCCAAATATACTGAGGCAAAAGAAGATTAGATTTTTTAAAAAAAGGAACACCACACTCTTTCAAATCGCACTGTTTGACAAACTTTTTCTTATTTATCTAGAATTCATGTTGAACCAGTCATCTAAACAAATCTAATAAAGAAGAAAGCTCTCATCAGGCTCTCTGAAGAGATTGGTATTTCTTTTTCATAAATACTTATATATAGTAAATTATTAGTAATGCAGTTATGTTCCTCAGAGTAGAAACCTACAACTTCAAAGTGAAATACAGCCCTTACCTATGTTCTCAGCTGACAGCACAATGTCTGAGCCAATGGAAATCGAAATATCAGCCAGTTTTTCTGCAACCAGGTCAAGGTTGCGAATTATAATGTATGGCCCAGGTATTACCTGCAAAGTGAATATGAAAGTGCAGTAATTTAGTTCAACATTATTGATCTACAAATCACTTTCAAACTTCATGTTATTTTTTGTTGCTGTTAAGAGCAGTTAAGTTAATAAAAAATGGAGGATATGGTAAAATGTTTTTGAAAAGACTCTATAAATTCTAAGTGGAGAAATGCATGATTCAATGACAATTATGGTGCAATTTGCAATAAACACATAACTAAGATTGAGGAAAACAAGCTTTGCTTCCGACTTAAGTTTTTCTGCAACCAGGTCAAGGTTGCAAATTATAATGTAAGGCCCAGGTATTACTTGCAAAGTGAATACGAAAGTGCAGTAATTTAATTCAATATTATTGATTTGCAAATCACTTTCAAACTTCATGTTATGTTTTGTTGCTGTTAAGAGCAGTTAAGTTTATAAAAATGGAGGATATGGCGAAATGTTTTTGAAAAGACTCTACAAATTCTAAGTGGAGAATTTCACCGCTTTCTTATCGAATGGCGGTGCAAGCTCGAGGGGCCGAATGGCCTACTCCTGCTCCTAATTCTTATGTTCTTAACCTAAATACTGTAGACACCAAATTGACAAAAAAAACAACACGCAGCAAAATCAACATCAACCAACTGTGACTCAGGCAAAATGCTACAACTCAGTGGTTTGTTTCTCTGTAAGCCAAGGTATTGTAACATGTATTCCCTAATGACTACACCATCTGTTTGGCAAGAATTCCTGGGTCTATTCACTGAAAGGCTTTTGGTTTACATTAAAAAAAAGTGCACAAGTTATACACTATGTGTGTTAGGCTTTCATTGAGAAAATATTGGTTTTTAATTTAATTGAACATGCAGAATTCTTACCTCAGACACTTCAAGCCATTCCACGGAACACCTTCTATCTATTATTTTGCTTGCCAATTGTACGTAGTTAGTAGCCAAGTTTAAAAGAATTTCTGAATTATTTACTTCAGTCTCAAAATCTAGATATGCGACACTTCCCAAAACTCTTGTCAGGGCGAGCAGATCAACAGCAGTGAGGCTTACATCACTCTTGTCTACAGTCTCCAGTAATATCCTGGTGATATTATTTGCTCCATCCACAGTTTGTGGGTAGTCACTGTTATTTAGAAGAAGATAATCTGCAATCTAAAATAATCAACAAATTGCATATTATCAACACACGCAAATATTGTCAAACAGCACACTGAATACAACAAAACAAAGAGACTATGGTAAGTACCTAATATTTACCTACATAACTAATTTATCTGTAAATACAATCTACATTAAAACTAATTCACTCTACAGTAAATTCTGTGAAGCACATTGAGAACTTCTAACAACGTGAAAATGCCCTGTATCAAATGCAAAAATTATTATTGTACACAATTAAATATATGAATTAAAATTGTTTATTCAAACTTGTAACTCATTCCATGTCAAGCAAGATTGTTATTGTCAAAGTCTAATATTAAAACAAAATTACTATTATAACTGTTGGCATTTTATTTATAAACTTAAAATAATAAACCATTAACAATAAAGTTTGGCTTACTTTTAAATATTAAATTTGTAGACATATTTGGGAACTAATGGAGATTGATGACTGTAAATTGGTCAAAATAGAAATTCAATAAATGAACAATAAAAACATGAATTACCCACCAACTTCACAACATAGAACAATCTTTCTCAAACTCAAACAAAGACTGATAAGGTAAGAACATGGAATTTAAACATAAACTGCCTTTACTGTTTCCTGGAGCAAATGAAATCAGATTTACTAAATAGCTCTTTGGAGGAGCAAATAATTTAATTACTGATACAATACAATTTACATTCACGTTACTTACTGAACCACAGGCAGGGATTTTCTTTACTTGAAGATAAAATGGAGATGGAGGGACTGAGGAAAATATTTGCATATGTTCATATACATCTGTAAAAGTTAGATGAAAAGAATGCTTTACACAAGTTATGCACAAATAAAATTAGAAATCACCTATAAACGTTTCAAGAACGTTTGGAAAATCATGTCAAAAAATGAATACCAAATCTTCAGCTCTGTATTACAGCACGAATAGTGTCAGCATCCTGCACCGCTTAATATCAGATGTAAAATTACTGTTTATATCAAAGAGAAATACTTGACAATTTCGCGCAGGAAACTAATGATGGTTGCTTTAAAGTAAAATATCTTTAAAATATAATAATAATAAACAATTAAGTTAACCTTTTTCATATCTGCAGAATGTTTCTTTGCGTTGTGAGCATAATTCAGAGATCCATGCGCCATTCAATGGGTCAAATGCTATGCATTCTTCTTTAACAATTGTGATATTGATATCAGATGAAATATTGTGAAAAAGAGTCACGCTTCCATCCACCCATGAAATATAGAAAGGTTCATATGTTTTGAATCCAAGACCTGATATGAAATAAAGAAATGGTTACACATTAGTAGTATACAATGAGTACAAAGCAAGGAGCTTCAGTAAAATTTGATTGAGTTCTTGACTGGCAATTCTTACAGAAAATACATTCAAAATATATGCATGAGTGACTTTAGAATTATTATCTGCTGTTGAAAGTGCTGCTTCATGTAGATATAAACCATCCATGCAATACAGTTATTCCTACCACTAGGTAGCAGCAATCTTCATTGTTCCCACTGATACTGACTTTTGGCAATCCTGCACCTTCAGAATTATTGACAGAAGAAATGCAGTACTACACAGGATTACTCATTTCTTGGCTCAGAAGCTTTTTACTAGCATGCATCCAGGCACTGGAAACTTTATTTTGTATTCAGACCATTATTTCTCACAGGGATCATACCCTGATTTTTTTTAAAAAAACATTATCTGACGACATGAACAATGTCGTGTATTTCAAGAGCTTGACATTTCTTCAGTCGACCCATTTGTAGAATTTTTTCCCTAAGTAATAGAAAGTCAGAGAGTCATGTGTACAAGTTTTGCTTGAAATCACAGACACTACTTGGTATGGTTAATTTTAGCAGTAGATCTATCCACGTTAACCTATCCAATTTGTTCCCTGTCTGAAACTTAACTCGGGTGATGAGGTTACTTGAAGCTGCAATTGATTCAGAGAGCAGAATTCACTGCAGGTAATGAACACTTATTTAGAGACCGGTGGGTGGAGAGAGAGAGAGGTTCCACCCAGGTCCAGACTTCCCCAATTTGCTTCCCATTTCAAAGCATGTAGAATTTGGCAAATTTTTAAATGCAGCCTTAATTTTGAAGTAGATTTTCTGGAGGTGCTTTTAAGAACTGTATATTTCTAGCCTGTTCCTCCTTATAAATTCTCATATAATTAGGCTAGTCCTACTGTCCATGCCAAATGAGATCAAAAGGCAAAACTGAAACGACAAAAATGTGCTCCCATACAAAATTCACTTGTATTCATATTACCTTTACACTGAGAAAATACTTTGTACACTTGAACTGTTGGCTCAACTTGAAGAGCAGAGATATTCCATTGAAAAAATAATCCAGCCTGAGGCACTGAACAATCTTCCACTAAAGCTTGAATCTCGCTGGAATCCAGAGCACGATTCCAGATGTGAAGTTGTGTAATGTTCCCAATGAAGGATTCGTCTTGCTTGAAAGATCCACCAAATGTGTCCTGTTCTTGACCAACAATGAAAACCCCATCTTGTCCAATATCATCAGAAAGATAAAGGTGGTCTCCAGAAGCAACTATAGATCCATCGACAGCAATAGCCCAGCTTCCACCTCGACGCGTCCATCTCACGCAGATATGGTGCCATCTGCCATCATTCTCCATAGCCTGGGAGTAAGGACTATGAACACCGTGAACAAGCAAAGCTAACTGGATCTGCTCCTCGTGGACTATGTTGGCGCGGAGCTGGAATTCATTAATGAAAGATGGGATTGAATAGGAAAAGATTGTGGAAACTCCAATATAGTTTGAATCAAATTGCAATTGAGCGCAAACGGTCACAGAATGCATTTGAGGAAACTGTTTCAGAAGTCTGGCGTACTTGGTGTCGGTTCTACCAGAAAATGCCAGAATCTGTGAACCAAACGTACCTAAATAGACAAAACAAAAATACAATAGTTGCTGAGCTGCTATTTTTTGTATTCATTCCAACAGTCTACTTTCTTTATTAAAGATTTACACATGATTCTAAACCTCACCTTTAATAAGGTGGAGGGAGAAGGGTTGTTTGTGATACATTGTTGGCACAAATTGACTGTCATGTTTGCTTACAAATAAATAATCACTCCACTTCACAATAAAATCTGTGAAGCATTTTGAGACATCCTCCTGATATGAAAAGCACTCTACCAAATTAAGGATTATTATTTTTAGATTATTACAACAACCACAGCTTACATTTATATAGCACCCATCACATGGGGCAGAGTCTCAGAGCGATTATTAAAAATAATAATAATGGAAGACTGAAATAAAGATAACCATTTTCATAAGATATTGAAAATTTTGTGATTGAAGGTTAGAGTTTGAACTGCTGTCTAACATGGTGTCACTGGCTCAGTTGATAGTACTCTAGCTTTTCAATCAGAAGGCTGTGAGTTCAAACCCAATGTAGGACTTTGAACACAGAATCCGCTACGGTGCTGATGGAGGGGATGTCGTCTTTTGCATGAGATGTCAAAGTTATAATAACCCTTACATTTGATACAGTATCTTACATGTTGGGAGGACTTCTTAAAGTGCTTCACAGAATTCAGTGACTGTGTAGTGACTGGGTTAGTTTTTTGGGAACGAACTGCAAACAATTATGGTTTGTCTAATCCTAGTGTAAGGTGTGAGCAGTTTGAACCAGAAATTTTCTCGAGATATTATGTAACCTTTTTAAGAGTTGTATTTCATCAATGGTCAATTCTCTTCCATCAGTCGCTGTTTGTATAGTTACCAATGTACTCACTGCACGGAGCTTAGATTAGAGGATGACTGTTTATGACTACAGTAAAAATGATCTGCAGTTGAGTTACACTATTCTATAAAACTATTCTTAAATTTTAACTAAGCAACAAACTACAGGTAAGCCAGGGCCGCCCTATCCCTTTGGGCTCTGGTTTCTAACTCTGTGACTTTACAAGTTAGTGACAAACACAAATACTCAAGATTGTGCCCGAAGCTTCACTGAGACACTAATCGAGAGTTCATCAGTTATCTGTCAAAAACACCTGCTCATCACATGAAACTACATTCAAACAGTACCTTAAACATGACTCAATATTACAAATGTAGTTCAGGTTGAGTATCCTTGGAAATGTTCATTCTAAACCCAGGTTATTGCCCTGTACGTTGGGTGTGACACCACTGATATTTTATTTGGTCAGACAGCTGTCTGACATGTGCGGAAACCCATCACTACACTTAAGAGTATCCAAACCAAACTGCGAATTCCATGCTGTTTGACACCACCGAGAAGAGGTAGATTCCATTTAAACAGAACTTGGAGCATTCGTGAACTACATTAATAATTACAAAAACTATCTCTGAAGCTCTTTACTATCACTGGAAAGTGTTCCACAGACCAATTTAGTGCACCTTGGGGCACATCTGCATTCCGTGGTTTAGACAAGAGATGCAATTAAGCATTAGAGAATTGCACTGTCTGCATACAGTGCCCCAGATGGTAAATACCAAAACAGCGCCGGTCGTCAAGCATTTTTAGTCTGTTTATAGCTGAAAATCACAACAAATATTCGCTGTGCTTTCAGCTATAAACAGACTAAAAATGCTTGATGATGCAATAAGGTGCTATATCAAATGCAAGGATTATTATATTATTATTATAAAAATGCAGTTTTGCCCAAAAGCAATGTGAGCCAAGTGGTGTTATGATCCAATGGTGCGTACAAATCAGTTTAACTTCATAGAATAAAACATATTTTATGGATTCAATATCACATGAAATGCAAACTTACCGGAGCCGGTTCTTTTCAGTTTAGCTCCTATCCAGAGGGGTTGCTTCACACCCAAGGGATGCATCAAGCTCGGGAGCTTGAGGTTGTCTTCAGCGGTGAGGATCGTGGCCAAAAATCCAAACTTTTGTCTGCACAACCTTTCGGCCTCTGTCCAAGTCACCTCACCAGGGACAGACTCATAATAATAATTCCTGTAAATGAAACATCGCCCGTCTTGTGGTATTAGTGGCGATTCTGGGGAGGAAAGATGGGGGGGTGGGGAGAGAAAGTTAAGAGGGGGGAGGGAGAGATAAGGGGGTGGGGGAGATAAGGGGGGGAGGGAGAGATGAGGGGAAGGGAGAGATAATGAGGCAAAAAAAAAGACATCACTTTTATATCAGTCAAATAGATTTTCTCCAAATAGCTCTGGTTTTCCCAGCTAAATCCCACTCACCTGCTGAAATGCCACGAATGCAGGAAAACTGGGAGGGGGGGAAATAGAAATATTGTATTACATCTCTTTGTACAGAGGCAGGAAGCTGGAGAGTGACTGAGTTCTCAGAGAAATCTGTTCACTTACCAAGAAGCTGAAGAACAGAGGGACCTCCCGTCCTCGCATTTTCCTGTGAATAAGATCCCAAAAAAAAAGAGTGCGTTTTTTTTTGTTCAGTTGCGACTTTGGATAAAAGGAAAATTGGAAGGAAAGTAAAAGACAAGAGATAGAGATGATTCACTCCTGAGAAATGAGTAAACCCCACATGTCCATCCAACACCTTTCACATCAGTGAAAAAAAATCATTTTTTTTAAAAAAAAAAGAAAAATCAATTTCATTTCTACTATTTCTTTTGTGACGATCGTCGGAAACTTAGAAACTTGTGTCGGGGGAGAGCTCTGAACCTTTTTTTCTCTCTCTCTCTCTTTCACTCTCTTTCTCTCTCCCTCTCTCTCTTTCCTTCCAATCACACTGGAGGTGATGGAAATAGAAGGGGGTGGGAATGATCCAAACACAGCATCTATCACACAGCAAAACTATCAGATGAGCTTCCAGCCCTGGGGTTGCAGGCAGGTAAGTAAAAGTAAAAGGTGGCAAAAGCAGAATGTGCTCCTGTTCTACTGGTAATCGCATTAATAAATAACAGAAATGCCTTCGAAGTCGAAAATAAACCCATTTGTTAGGCGGCTCACGCCCCTGCAGGGGGGTGATTTGGACGAGAAGTAATGAGAGAGAGAGAGACAGACAGAGAGAGAGAGAGTGTTAAATTGAAACCCTGATCACCCTTCACAGCCAGACTGTTGAGTTGTTGCTGCTCAGGTTATTAATGCCTCGTTATTCATAATAATGAAAAAAATCAAATCGGTCACAGAGATACAGGTGGTCAAATCCCTACCAGTTTCTGAAGTGCTAACTGCTGCAGAACCCAAACTCTCCAAGCCATGAGACATTTCACTTTCCCACACACTTGCCCTGTGTGCAAGTGTTGACACTCCCCTGTCTCTCTCTCTCTCTCTCTTCCCCTTTTCACACGTTTGTCTGCAGGGTCTGACTTGGGAGCAGTTTGGATTCTCACAACTACTGTAAAAACAACTGCTTTGCAACACAAAGCCTGTTCCACCCTTTGTCTGTTGCTGCATTTAGCAGCATCTCCCACCCTTGACACTTCTCTCAAACGTTAAGTTGCTCAGCTTTCCTATCCCCCACCAGAGAGATAGAGTCGAATGCAAAAAAAAAATTGTATTTTATTGGAAGGGAAAAATAAATCTTAAGCCAATGACCCTTTTTTTTAAAAAAAAACACTTTTGTCGCCTCCTACCGAGACCACCAGACAAAGTGAACTGAGCTATCAGAGTGGTGACATTTAAATATTAACAAAGGCAGGTTGGGAGTGAGACAGCAGCAAATGTTGCTCTGAGTGAGTTGTAAAAAGCTGGCAGCTTGGAAACGAAAACCGTTAAAAGAAGTCAGCATGAATTTAAGCAGCGACTTCTTGAGGCCTCTCAATTGCTTTCAGTAAAAAAAAAGTCATTTGCATTTATTCACTTTTTTTTCTTTAGAAAGTAATCCTTCTGTGCTCCTTAATAGCTGACATCAAAAAATAAACCAGAATCCAGCGCAGGCGATCGACATCTGAAAGACAAAGCCAGGTCAATGACTCTCCCACAAAATATACAGTCAATTCACTTTACAGTATATTCTGTGAAGCGCTTTGAGATGTCTCAAAGATGTGATAAGGCGCTATATCAAATGCAAGGATTATTGATAATGTTGCAGGAACGATCCTTAATCATTCTTCTTTCCTTAATTTACAAGGAACAAAATCAATAGCTGGAAGATGTTGCCAGGAAGGCTGTTGTAGGCCAAAACACAGTTCTTTTGATCAAGCCTGGTGTCTGACACATGTGGAAACCCGTCACCATACTTAGAGTATTCAAACTGAGAATTCCGTGCATCCCACCTGCACATGAAAATTTCAGATAGATTATTGGAATGGAATGCACGCGCTCTCCCAAACAATTTATCAAACTCATGGATTATGTTTATAATTTAATCCCTCTATTCCTAACATGATTTTAAGATCTCAGTCTGTCACACTTGGTACCATGCTCATCTTTGAGTCAAAAGGTTGCGGATTCAAACCCCATATTGTGAGCTGCTGCATTTGTCTACAAAGAACAGTCTTTGCAGTTTACAATACGTTGAAACATCCTCATGACATGACAGTTGCTATATTAAATGCAGTGATTTACGACAAGTTTAGTGTGAACATTTATCCAATCTGTCAAATAATTGACATTGAATTCTGCACAATATGTGTAGTGTAATAATCTGTAGGGAGGTGGATTTGCATAGCTTTTCAAGAATTTATTTATCTGCAGCATCTTGAGCCTTTCTCCCAACGTGAAAGGTGCTATAATAAATGTAAATTTGTTGTTGTTTAATGGGCATGAGCACAGTCATTTGAAACTATTATAGTACTGTCATAAACTCACTGCAATAGCACTTACATATATTATAAGGTAGTGAATACTTTTGTAGTAGAGCAGCATTTACATTAGCAAAGCATAACATTTGAAGAAATCTCTGGTGTCTGAATTAGAATGTGGAGTATGAACAAATTACATGGGTGGGGGGGGAATATTTATTTGTAGCCTGCATGAAGGGCGCTATATCAATGCAAATTGCTGTATGATAAATAAAAGGCAGTAATGAAAGACATCAAAATGTAAGACAGTTAGTAACTAGCAGCCTATTTTTAAAAAAAATATATTCAGTTAAATTTGGCAAGTTAGTTTTATTTTGCCTTTGTTCATTTCTCAGCAGTAGTTGTCATTAACACTCAGAAAGCTCTAGGTAGTTATGACTATACATCCCATCAGTCTTTACTGACAGATCACTGTCAATTTATCTTCCCAGTAGAGCATATTCAATACAGCAGTGTTTAATATTTAAAAAAAACTTGGTTCCACAATATTTGTTGTTCATAAAATGTATTTGCCATTGTTGATATACATTGTGATTGCCACAATCACAACAGTTTTCCACAAACTAGGTTATGATCCAAATTTCATAAGTCACTGGCACAATATTGTCCTGCCAATTACAACAAAATTAAATTTGTATAGCGCCTTTCACGATCAGAAGCACATCCCAAGGCGCTGGACAGTCAGAGTTTCAAAGCCAAGCTGGGGGTTGGGATCGCGGAGGGTGGAGGGGGATGCAAGGTGATCGAAAGCATGGTCGAAGAGGAGGGTCTTGAGATGGAGCTTGAAGGAGGCAAGGGAGGGGACGAGGCGGAGGGACTGCAGGATGGAGGGTGAGGGCAGAGTGGCAGGCTAGCCCGCCAATGGTGGGGCAAGCGAGGTGGGGGATGTGAAGCAGGCCAGAGCACACTGAGCGAAGAGATCGGGCAGGATGGTAGGGGGTTAGGAGGTTGCAGTTCTGGATGATCTGCAACCCATGGAGGGAGGAGTTTGCATAGTCAAGCCTCGATATAATGAAAGCATGTATGAGAGTTTCGGTGGCCTGCAGTGTGAAACAGTGGCAGAGCCGGGCGATGTTGCGGAGGTGGGGGAAGGCAGAGCAGGTCATAGCACAGACGTGAGGTAGAAAGGACAGTTTGAGGGTCAAACAAGACGTCAATTACAAGATCTCATTAAATATACAACTTTATTCTGGTTTATCACTATGTTGGAAGCATGCAACAAGTCATTTTGAAATAATTGGTAAAGTTATGAAAGCTTATGGCTGTGTATCCACATGTTAAAGTACCAAGTCAACTTTTACTTAAAAACATTAAATCTTCTTTATGCTCATATACACATGATTATGGGGCACTTTTTGGATCAAAATTAAAACAAAAATCTGTCCTGCTATAAATAAATTGCAGCAAGGCATTCCATTTGGTGTTCAGTATTTACAAATTATCCCTTTGATTTTAATTATAGCAAGACCTGACAAAGGCAAATCATTTCCCTTTAACTCAGTGCTAACCATTACATTGTTTTGGTAACCATATGAGAATCCCATACAACCATTCTTATGGCTTCACTGAAAAGATTGTGCCCAATTATGGACAATTGTGGGTTGATATTGGCTATTTTACAAAGCCTTTGCAGATGGCATAGGGAGGCGAGAGACTTGTGTGGGGAGTGTGCGTAAGAGAAAGAGTGTGAGTGACCAGAAAAGCCTTGGGCTTTCATTCTATGCTTGATGTGAGCCAGGTTTAGAAGCAAAAGCCTAATATGCTGACAACTAGAGTTCCTACTTTCCTCCTCTCCACAATACTTTTCCACTGCAGTTGATCAGATGGTGCAATGCGTGTGAGGAAAGTTTCTATGTACCAGTGACTGGAATTCTTTCCTTTATGCTTCATAGGTTAAAACATCAAGAACCGTACTCTTATTGCTACTCTACTGTGTAAAATCACTGACCTTTTTGAAGAAGCTACAGCAAATTCTTAATGCTAGGCAATTTAATCTATAGTATGCATAGTTCAAGAAATTGTGTTTTGCACCTAAAGTTAAGAGTTATTCTCTGGTGAGACATATACAGCAATGAAACCCAATGCAAACTCTGTACTATTTGAAGCAAATTGGTATCAGAGTAGACGAGACCATGATTAGAAAACACTTCTCCCCAAAAAGGGAACAAGCACATTGTATTGCATATTACTGCATCAATGGGTTGGACTGGAGAGTTGTGTCATACATAATCATGTCTCTAGGTAGGTTCAAACATTCTCACTATTAAGCCATGTACAAGAGAATAAGCAATTTTACACAACATAAGTTAAAATGGGTGTTGGTGAGAGGGGGAGTTAGACAAGTTTCATTTGTCAAGCTTGCTGAGGTAAAGAAATCTACTGTAATCGGGTGAATTGTAAACCTAGGTTCTGCAGAGTTTAAATGCAATAAAACAAATATTATTTACAATAGCTTTGCTACACACAAATTACATTTGAAGCTTTACTCAATTTTATTGCATGTACAATATGTGTAGGTCATCTGTCAAACCCACTGAACACCTCTTGGTGAAGAATCTTCTGACATTGGTCCCTGGAGTGTGTAGACAGTTTTCTTAACACCTCTATCACGGCAGGTACCGTGGCCAACAATTGCCCTGGTTGTCTTTATGTTTTCCTGCTTTTTCTTTTCAAAACTCTCAGCACGAGTGGAGGATCTCCCTTTCTCACTCTGAAGGTGGTGGATTACGTCAAGGAGTGAGGTGGCCGCTGATTCCAGTGCATTGGCCACCAGCTGAAGTCCTTTCATGTCCAGTTTGTTTTCTCTGGCTGAGGACATGTTTACCTCATCAGAGAAAGGACAAAGTGCACAAAAGTTATCCGTCACATACTTAGCTGAGGAACAAATCATTTCTATGCACTTCATCAGTTGCTGGTCAGCTACATGTTCACCTGTGAATGAACGAAAAACAAGGAGATTTTAATTTAAAACTCATATATTCCAATATGTACATTGATATGGAGGACATAAATTTGATATGCAAGTGGTGATGCTCACTGGTAAAGATACTTTTTATATGACACACATTAGATGCCATCCACAGACACATTTTCTGCCTAGTTGTAGGATCATTGTGGTTACTAGGCAGCAAGGCTGTGTGCTGCTGCCTGTGGCCAACATCACAGAAAGGAGTTCAGCTTAAAATTTTGAAGTTGGAAATGAGAATAGAGCTTTTTAAAAAATGCAATTGATATGTAAATATTTGGGGATTCGGTTAGACGCAAGTCATCTTCAAATGTTACAATGTGTGCAGCAGTATCTTGGATGGACTTCTCTATAAAGATTGTAATAGTAAATCACTTTATTGAATTAAATGACTATTTCAAATATTTTACCTCTCAGTACTGACACCACCAGCTGGTTGATCTGTTGGACATTTCCATTAAACTTGATCAATTCGGCAGCAACAGCAGAGGCTTTGCTCAAGTTGATTGTTGAATCTGCAGACTCTTGTGTTAGGGTTCCCAGCATCTTTTAGAAATTTTTAAGATAAACATTTAAAAAAAACAAAAAAAAGGCATCACACAAGGTACAGAACTTTGCAGCAATTACATAAACTGAAATGAATGCACAAGATATCGGTTACTCTCTACGTTTACTGCGCCTTTTCATTAAATAGCTTTTATTCAGTCACACACATTTACAACGGAAATCAGTTCAGCTGAAAGTAATCCTTGAACACACTAAAATATTAGATACAATTCACCAAGAGTCATTCCCACATTGGCAATCAGTGAAAGGAATTTCCCCCCCCACAATTGTTTCCCCTTCTCTCCTCCTCTGATCCCACATGCTCTTTTTGAAGCAGACTTGAAACACCAGTTTAAAATCTTGGAGCCACAATGATATGCGATTAGTATGCAGTGGCCAGCAGTCCAAACTGATCCAAAGAACATTTGGATCAATTTAATTCAGATTTGAAACTAACCTTTAGGCTTGCCTTTCAAACAGATATAGAATATTTAGATTTAAGATTACAAATTAAGTTATATGTACCTTTATTTTGAGGCGTAGAAAGTACCATGCAAGAGAAAGAAAGATCGTATTGCATTTTTTTTAGTGATAAATGGTAATCCATTTCATTATATTGCAAACGCTCATTTCAGCAAAAGAAACATTGATAGCAATACAATATAAATTTATATAGCACTTTTCATGTCAGGAGGATGTCTCAAACCACTTTTACAATATATAATATATCTAGCACCGGGTTCCACATTCTGTTCATCTTTAAAATCACAATCACTAGTTTTAATTTTGCTTTTGATCAGTTTTTGTGGATCAGCAAAAACTGCAAACAATCAACACTACGGGTTGGAAACCAAAATCAATTTGCAGTTCTTTTGGGAATCTCAAAATGGTCAGTTCCAGAAGAGAAAATGAAGAAAAACTGCCTTTCTACTCAACTGTGAACAACAACAACAAGATTCCATTTATAAAGCGCCTTTCACGTCAGGAGGACGTCCCAAGGCGCTGCACAGTTGGGTCATGACCCGAGCAGGGGGGAAATGGTCAGGGTGAGGGGAGGGAAGGGATAGTGAAGATATAAGTAAGAGGGAAACAGAAACGGTTAAACAAGGGTGAAAGTGGCCTAAAAACATATTGGTCTAAAAAATGCACAAATGTTCATTGGGACACAGTAGGGTTAACAGTATCATAACTACCACATTTCTGTAAAGAGACAAACAACAATTAAATGCAGTACTGATGCTTTACAAATAATGCACACAAAATAAGATTACCCCTTGCAGATCTAAAAACATTCTAAGTAAGATTGCTGGTGGTCACTACACAGCTGACTAGACACATTTTAACTAAAGATTAGAGAACCATATGGAGAGAAACATCCTGAAATATATTTTTCAAAGTAATGAGAAGAACAATCCATAGGAATAAAATGTGTGCGACTGGCCATCTTCTTCCAATAAAAACATTTACAAACCTAATCGAGTACATTTCAGATACTTTCAGGCAAAGCACCAACACAAGCTGATATTACAAAAAGAACAGGCAACATCCAAAACAAACAGCGCAATTAATTATTAAGCAGTCGTCTTACTTTCAGACAAAAGTAGTCTTTCATAACTACTGGCAGTCAAGTGTTCCCTCGCCTGCTATATAAACATTTCATTTTGACAGCTTGCTTTGTGGATTTTACATAAGGTAACAAAGAGCTGGCCCAGTGAGGGGACACTTATTGGCTTTTTTCTACTTATTTCAATAAATCATGGATTATAAAGAAGTGTTCAGTGAATTTCTTTGTTGAAAAGAAAAACAGGTTTGTGGAATATTTAAAACAAGATGCCAATAACCTTGAGTTTCAATTTGTCACATACCAAAGATTTTCTATTACTGTATAAACCAAATGCTAAAAGCCCACAACGTTAACTGTACCAGGTTAATTTTCACTCCAATTTCGTGGATTTAAACACAATGTAGGGATTTTACCAAAACTCAAATTACACAGAACCAGATGAGCATTAATTGCTGCAACAGTCTCTCTCAACTCGCCCAATTTACAGCACAAGGCATCGGTCATCAACATGGCTGAAGTGATGATAAATGTTTCAAGTCTCATTCATATAAAGCAATGAATGAGACATGAAACCAAGCAAATCTGAAAAAAAAAAATTTGAAAACAATCCTTTCTAAGGCTCAAAACAAAAGAACAGATTTCTTGTCAACTGCGCTCATTTATTCTGCTGATTATTTGTGCTGAGTCAAGAAAGTGAATGTGTTGCTCAGAGATAACAGAATCTGTCTCTTCCTGATAAGATTTCAGTTCCGTTCTGTCTGCACTAAATGAGGTGTGCACGTAGGGATAACTTTAAAGCTTAATAAATAAAAATCCCAATTATCCCATCATAATTGGACATACTAATTTGGAACATCAGACTATTGTAACAGGAGATTTAGGTTCATTTGTTAAACTCAAATTAAAACATAAAAGTGAAATAACAATCTTTTTTCAATGATTACTGCTAGATTAACATGACTGTTTCAAATAAATTTGAAAAAAAGCAAAGCAAATAATAAAACATTTTTGTACAATTCGGTTTACTCATCAGTGGCCATTTTAACGCAATTTGAATTTTAAAAAATATTATTCCTGTTCAAATGTCGATGGCAAGTTTTTTTTTGCAAAAGAATATTATGCAAAAGAGATTATCCCAACAACCAAAGAGTAAACAAAATAGCTTCATTAAAATTATAGGCACAGCAAACCACTGTTGGAGCATCACAACACTCAATACAATTCTCAAAACGCAAAATACTGCAGATGCTGGAAAACCAAAACAAAAGCAGAAGTTGCTGGGAGCACTCAGCAGGTCAGGCAGCGTCTATGGAGAAAGGAAAGTGGGTAACGTTTCGGGTCCACGTTCTGACGAAGGGTCGTGGACCTGAAATGTTGACTCGCTTTCCTTCCTCCAGAGATGCTGCTTGTTCCCAGCGACTTCTGTTTTTGTTTCAATACAATTCTCGCCACATGTTCATACACATGCACTTTGTATTAAAATCACTTGATAGCAATCAAGAGCAAGATCCTTGGCTGATTTTTTTCCCTTCCTCAGGCAATGAGAATAATTATTCTGCATCTCGGATGAGAACAAGCAACTCCATACAGACCAACCCAGGATCTAGTCTAGAAGGCTCTGTTTCATCTGGGCCTTACCCACTGAGAAGATCATATTAAAACAATTTTGAAGATACATTTACAGAATTAAAAGATCTCAAGACCTTAAAAGGATTACATTGAGCTAACAAGCAGGGGTTCATCTTAAAAATTGATTAAATAGAATTATAAATTAGTTGGTGTGACACACACACACAGATTCATGTCCCATACCTTATTGTATTCTGTGAGGTAGTTTTGAACAGACACCATCAGAACCATGTTGTTCTTCTTTAGTTCTTCAAAACACTGTAAATAAAGAAAATGGTCATTATATACTCATTGTAAACACAGTTCTAACCACACGTATGAATCACCAAATGATTTAATAGAGCAGAACCCAGTTATTAGAAGAGTTTGCTTATAACCAATCTGGCCGTGGAACCCGATATTTATTTACAACAACAACTTGCATTTATATAGTGCCCCCTCACACAGGGTAGTCCCAGAATGCTTGATGGGACGCTCGATGGAGTGATTTATCCCAAATGAGCTCCATCGGTGTGTCAAAATTATAGCTGGTGCACGGTAGCCAAAATGGATTCCAGGTCATCAAGTCGTTGCAGACGTCCCCCTGATAACCCGGAAGTCAGCCATTCTGGCTTTCAGCCAGAGTTTTGAAGTGTTGATGGAGTCAGGCCATATGCAGTGAATGCAGCTGTGTTTACCAACTATCATGTCCTGTAATAACGCTGGTAAGGATTTTATGGATCCGCAACTACCATGTTACTAACAAGGCTCTACAGTATATAGAAGCATAAATTGTGCTTCTGGCTTATGTCTTCAATGATGCATTGGTTTTTGATCAACATGTTTGCGATCAATAAAAAAATGCAGACTACTACTTAGATAGCTGATCTTTGAAACTGATATACTTATAAATTGTAATTAAATCTAGCAAAACATACCAAACATTCTTCACATAAAATCTGAGCCGCCTATTCTGGTACTCAATAAACACCACCACCTGGGCTTTAAATTTCATTTTGCACAAGTCTTCAGTTAGAATATCAAGACTGGGCTTGGATTAAGATGACGATCATGTTCACAGAAATGAGTTTGAACTACTGCAGGAGATATTATACTGAACCAGCATATATTAAGAATGAGCTTTGATGAATGAAAGGCGATGAAAAGCTCACAATGATTTAATGCCGTCATTTCAGAATGTCACGAATGGATTGCAGGTATTTCTTCAACTTCATAGTTTTTAATTCCAAACGGAACCTTTTTCTATCATAAACATAATCTAACTTCTTAAAGATAGCAATAAGCTTATTTTTAAAACATGTTGTAACTTTCTGAAGTTATTTTATTATATCATACAATGCAATAAACAAGCATTCAATACAGATCAACTAACTTCTTCAAGCCTATCACACTAGCCTTTTCATATTTACCAAATGAAAAAGGTCAATGTTGCCCAGCAACTCTGCATCTGCTTGAAGGGCATGCACACTACATGCTGCTAATGTGGATATGAGCATTACTTTTTTTTGGCATCCACTCTAGCAGCTAGTAACACGAACAAAATTACTTGTCATTTTAGGTTTTAATTAACCTCGTAATGTAACCCATTTAAAGGTGACAAACAATTTTTCTCAGAATGATATCTATGTTTAAGAGTGTAAAAGCTATCACTGCCTTGTAAATGTTTTTCCATACCACACAGGAACTATGGGAAAATAACAGAGCAGATGAAATGAACTCTGTAGCTCCAAGACTTAACTTGTAAAACATTTCCAAATTAGAAACGAGGGCAGTTTAGAAATGACATTTCGAAAGTTATCTTAAGCCGTGACTTTCCTGTTCATCCACATGATCACGTTGAACATCAAAGAATAATATTTTTTTGAAACAAAGAATGTACAGCATGGAAATAGGCTTCTCGGCTCAAGCAGTCTGTGCAGTGTTTATTACTTCACAGGAGTTTTCAGCTATTCCTTACTCCCTCCCATATCCCTCTATTCCCCTCTCATGTAAACGTCTACTAGCTTCCGCTTAAATGCATCTACACAAGTGGTGGCCAATACATTGCCCAACTCCACTGGCTTCCCATCACACAGAGGATACAGTTCAAGATCCTGATCCTCACCTTCAATACTTCCATGGCCATGCTCCCCACTACCTCTGCGACCTCCTAACCCCCTACCCACCTGTCCATTCCCTCCACTCAGCAGGCTCCAGCCTGCGTCACATCCCCTGCCTCACCTACCCCACCACTGGCGGGTGGGCCTTCAGCCACTCTGCCCCCACCATCTGGAACTCCTTCCCACAGTGCCTCTGCCTCACCCCCTCCTTTGCCTCACTCAAGAACCGTCTCAAGACCCTCCCTCCTCTTTGACCGTGCCTTTGTCACCCTCCTTCCCCCCCCTACTCTCCTCGATCCCACCTCGAGCTCGGGTCCTCCTGATCAAGATCCTGATCCTCACCTTCAAAGCCCTACAAATGTAATTTTGTTGTTGTTTGTTGTTGTTGTTGCGGATGTTCGATGGGCCACTTCTTGATGCCGCAAAACCCTCCAAACATCCTCCGCCTAAATTCTCTTTTTAGATCCCCTAGTCACTATCTTATATTTGTGGCCCCGGTGACAGATTCCCCAACCATTGGAAACAACTTATTTATGTTAACCTTCTCGAAATGTTTTATAATTTGAAACCCCTCTTAAACATCTCTTCTCTGGCAAAAAAAGCCTAAACTATAAAATCTATCCTTATAGCAGTAATCTGCCAGCCCTGTTATCATCCTCGTAAACCTATTCTGTATTCTTTCCATCACTGCTATAACCTTCTTATAGTGCGGACAGAATTGGACACAATACTTCAAATGTAGTCTAACCAAGGTTGTTTTTTTTAATATAAATTCAACATCACCTCCTCACTATTACATTATGTCCCCCTGGGTATAAAGCCCAAGACCCCATTGGCTTTTTTGTAGCCTTATCTACCTGTGTAGCTACTTTTAGAAATTTGTGGATCCCCTCCCTAAGGTTCAAAGAATTAAAAATCCATTTTGCTTTAAATCACTACAAAGCATCGACAACTTAAAAAAATTCTGGAAGTCAAATTTTAATTTTAATATCAAAATCAGCCAAATGAATTACATCTTGAAACACATGCATACAAATTTGAAGGAACTGATTACCTCCATCTTTGCTGTTGTTCTTTGCAGCAGTTTCTGCTCTTGTTTTGCTCTTTTCAGGCCATTATCCAGGAGACTCTTCATTCCAGCTTTTCCTCCCTCATAAAGAGAGGCTGCTGCAGTCTGCTGGTGAAAAGAATAAGATAGATTATAACAACAACAACTTGGATTTATATAGCGCCCTCCACACTGGACGGCGTCTCAGAGCGTTTCACAGTAATGGATCCCAGGGCCGAGCCAGGGGGAGGGTGAGGAAGGTGACCAAAGGCCCAGTCGAAAAGAAAGGTCTTCAGCCGAGACCTGAAAATAGGAAGAGGGGGCGAGGCAAAGGGAATGAGGAAGGGAGTTCCAGAGCCTCAGGGCGTAGTGGCTGAAGGCACGGCCGCTGAGAGTGGAGCGGAGGACAAGGAGGAGGCCAGACCCGGTGGAACGAAGGGAACGGGCACTGTTTTGAGGAGAGAGGAGATCAGAGAGGTAGAGGGGTGCAGAGAAGTGGAGGGATTTGAAGACAGGGGTGAGTATCTTGAAGTCGATCCTCTCTGGGACAGGCAACCAGTGCAGTCTGGCAAAGACTGGGATAATCGGGGAGCGGAGTTTGGTGCGGGTGAGAATGCGGGCGGCAGAGTTTTGTATAATCTGGATTAATTGAAGGAATCCCAATCTTAACCCAACATTAATTTGATAATACATAATCAATATATATTGTTAATATAATATATATGAAATAATAATCCTTGCATTTGATATACCACATTTCACTTTAGGAGATCTCAAAACACTTCACGTCTATATTTTGTAGGTGAACTAGGCAGCTAATTTTTACACAGCAATATCCGATAAACAGCCATGAAGTGAATGAACAATTTTATCCGGGGAAAATCCGTTTTACTGTCAACTCTACATTAAGGAGTGATACAAAAAAAGTAAAGTAAGCCATTACAAATTTGATTTGAGATTTCTATGATATTGATGCAAAAACAAAAACTGCCAGTGTCAACAACTACTATTTCCTGCTTGTATAGTGCCTTGTAGAAGCTCTTAATGTTTCCTGTGCCAGCCACATTGCCAGTTTAGCTCTGGATCCAATTCATTGCAACAGTTCTTCCTGCTCAACTGAGATAAGAGTCTACCTTCGTGACCACATTAGGCAGACTGTGTGATACTGACATTTGGAAAGGTGGAAGTAAATAAAATCAAAGCAAAAGTAGAGAACCATCTGAATTCTCAATGCCCATCTAAAAAATGTTGGCCTGTGTGATGGATACTGAAGAACTATACTTTTTCAAAAGTTAAAGGAAAGAAAAGTAATCTCTTTAGCAATTTGGTATTTTGGAGTTTACTTGCCTGAATATATCCTCTGATCTCCTGTTTGATCTATTCATAATCAAGAGCAACCTCTTCAGATTGTTATCAAGGAGAAATTTAGGATGATATAATCACAATCACATACAGCAATGGTACTAACAGCAGCAAACCTGGCCTACATTTATTTTTTATCAGATCAGAAATTCTACACTATAGTTTGAAATCATCAGAATTAAAAGATTGCACATTCTAGCATTTTTAAAAACCTACAGCTCCTTTAGAATGGAGAAAAAAAATTATAATTTGCAGTGTATTACTTGTTCCACTTTTTTAATTTTCTATTTGTTTCATTTTAGTGTCATAATAGTGGTATACCTTATAACTGAGAGAATCTTCTAAGTTCTGTTCTTCAAAATGCAACGCCACGCCTGTGAAAGTTGCCAGATGACCTACATGTTTCATAACTCTTCGGATTGTCTGGCTTATTCTGTTCTGAGCCTCCGTTACCATAGAAGAAATGTCTGAATCACAGCCCTGGAAGCACACAGACACTGGCTTGCCAACAGCAAAATACTCAATTCATTAACTTAAATAGATTAAAGGCTGGTTGCTAGATCCTTTTCAATTTCAAGAGTCAGTTATACAGAGACTAAAATGTCAGAAAACAAAATGTAAATCATTCAAAAATAAAGCATTACATACAAAATACTATAAAAAGTGCTTTAAAATCTTTACTAATATTGAAGATCAGTGTTCTTTCTGATCAATGAATGCATCAAATTATTAGGTGAAAGCGATCTGTGTGAAATTTTTATACGTTAAATTTAAAAAGCAAATACAGCACCATGTAAAATGAACACTTGGAATGCAAATTAATGAGTGTGGTGTATAATATAAAATATCTCATGTGATATTGAGTTAGGAGGGCATCTTCAGCAGTGAAAACTGGCATTTAAAGAATAATAATCCTTTAATTTGATATAGTGCTTTTCACGTAAAGTGTTGTGATTCTATTTTGTAGGCAAAGGTGGCAGCCGATTTGTGCCAATAATGTCCCACAAACAGCCATGAAGTAAATGACAAATTTTGTTCAAGGGAATGTTGGCCAAGACACTGGGAGAAACTCCACTTTCTCAAATAATGCCACGGAATCTTTAACATTCACTTGAACAGGCAGGCAGGTCCTCAGTTTAACCTCTCATCTGAAGGACCTTTACCCTTCCTCCATTTCTAAAATCTTCATCATTCTTAAAGTAATAATAATAATCCTTGCATTTGATATAGCGCTTTTCACGTCTTCTAGATGTCTCAAAGCGCTTCACAGAACAGACTGTAAAGTGAATTGACTGTATATTTGTGGGCGAAACATGGCAGCCAATTGTTTTAAAAAAAGAGTGTGTTTTAATTTGGAGCTAGTTAAGTCCCAGGTAGATCCTGCTTACCTTTGGGCTCTCCCTGAGAATCATTTTAAAAATGACTGCATTGTCCTATGAATGTTACAACAGAACTATACAGATCCAAATCGTAGACTTATAAAAGCTTTAGGATTTGGGAAAACTACAAACCTTTAATAGTAGCTGTAGGTTTCTACCCAATGTCTTCACTTCACCAAGTAGCTCATCATCAGTGATTTCAGAACAAGTGCCTTGTGGGAGCGCCTTATCGACCCACAACTTCATTAGAATTGCTACTCTTTCAAGATTTGTTGTAATTTTGATACAGTGAGACTGCATCTCTGTATTATTGGTGAACACTATAAAGGACATAAAAGTAAGACTGCATTGCACAAATTCAGAGAAATACATTGAATTAATCATCTAAATGGGAAAGAAGAACATGAATGATTTCTTCTAGTTATTTATGTCTTCCTTCAGACCAAATATTTAGTTTATATTTAATTTGTAGAATATCCAAACACACAACTAGCCAAAGTGTAGGGTAAAGGGAAGTTTTTTTAAAAAAAATTCACATGCATTTTGTTTTGATCAATTCCTGTTCCAGTAATTGCTAAAATAGATTTCCAGCTAAAGTTATAAACTCACAATTTTCTTGACTTTCATCATCCAGCTGTTCATATGCATTGGCAATTGCACATGTACTAGTCTGAATGGTCAGTAGGTCAGCAAGGAGCCGATCAGGAATGGTTTCCTGTGATAAATGATTCCTTCCAAGGTAGTCAACGGCTGCACCTAGAAGTTCCTTACACACAGCGGGCAACGAGGACTGGGCACCCGCTGAGCATATGCTCCGTGAAATGTTCAACAGATCTATTATGAAACAGAAGAAAAAAAACACACATTATCTTCATTTTCTGTTTCTACTCCTCTTACCACACTCCCAGCCCCCAAATTCGTGAAATTATATTCCTTTTGCAGTACACAGTTAGAAGTTTTTTGTGATTGATCTCTACAAATAGAATACCTTTAGCATATTTGTACGCGCAAAATTATTTTGTTCAAAATAGCAGTTTTTGAGTAATGGTTATATTAAAGCTCAGTCCAACAGCAGATGATGAGCAGCAAAAAAGGTTTTCTAGATGCAACATTTGACCCATTTATAGCTCATAGCCATGCCAATTTCCTGTTACGAAAGAGGTTAAAATAGTAAAATTTATCAAACCTACTGTGACTTGAAGTTCATAGAAAGAACTCGAGAGTTACGCATATTCTCAGCCTTATCACAGAGGAGCTATTGTTACAGCCTTCATGGCTGGCCACAACCAGACTGATAAATGTGACATCCACTAACAGTTGCTATGGTGGCAAAGAGCTCTGGAATGTTCTTTTAAAAAGCACAAACTTACAACTAAAAAAATTCTAGGCGCACAAAAAAACATTTTCAAATAAAATATGGCAATTTAGACATTCAATGTATATAACTTTTAACCTTACATTTATCCCCTGTACAGTATTACAACGTCCATGTACTAGAAATATTAAAAAAGACTTCCCCACAATTCAAACAAATCCCACTTATCAGCTACTCGGTGACACTATTTATCCTGTGCGAAGGATGCTATACAACTGCAATTCTTTGCTTAAATATTCCTGATGACAAAATCTGATAAATCACACCAAGTTAAAAATAAAATGTCATTGTAAATTTTATTAAAAATAATAATCAAATCAAGATCATATATGAACTGAATTGGATATAAATCATGCAAAATATGGCAACCTGTAGGATGTGCAGACTGCAGATTCTGAAGAGGAGTATTTCGGATTTCTGATAAACACCCGGACATCCGTTTGCTCCTGAAAAAACTTTTGCTCCTGAACAAGAAAATAACTGTGTAATTATTTAAGCATCAAAATTATACCCTCAAGAAGCAAAACCTATATAGTTATTGGCAAAAAAGGTCATTAAAACACATATCCTAGTATAGAACCTTAGTGGGTACATTCACCGAATACTACCAGTTTGGAAATAAGATGTTAGAATGTAGATTTTTATAACAGAACAATGTATGCAATAAGGAGAGACATGGGGAATTGCAGCAGGAAGAGCCATAATATTTATAATGATCTGCAGGGCACCCAATGAGCAACTAACACAGGTTAGTATTAACTAACTGAGTTAGTATTAACTGAGTCAAGAACCTTGGCTTCTTGTTTGACCCTCAACTATCCTTTCTACCCCACATCCGTGCCGTGACCCGCTCTGCCTTCCCACACCTCCACAACATCACCCGGCTCTGCCACTGTCTCACACTGCAGGCCGCCGAAACCCTCACACACGCATTCATAGCATCCAGGCCTGACTACACAAACTCTCTGCTTGTGGGCCTTCCCAACTCCTCACTCCATAGACTACAAATCAGCTAGAACTCTGCAGCCCATGTCCTCTCCCGCACCAGGCTCCGCGACCCTATCACCCCCAACCTTGCCCGACTCCACTGGCTTTCTGTCACACAGAGGATACTGTTCAAAATCCTGGTTCTCACCTTCAAAGCTCTCCATGGCCTTGCTCCACTCTACCTTTGCGACATACTAACCCCCTACCAATCTGCCCTCTCCCTCTGCTCAGCAGGCTCCAGCCTGCTTCTTGTCCTCCGTCTCGCCCACCCCACCATTGGCAGTTGGATCATTAGCCACTCTGACCCCACCCTCTGGAACTCCATCCCACACCCCCTCCGCCTCGCCTGCTCCCTTGTCTCTTTCAAGACCCATCTCAAGAGCCTCCTCTTCGACTGTGCCTTCAGTCACCTTACTTCCCCCCCCCTGCCTTCCACGATCCCAACTCCCAGCTGGGATCCAAAACATTGATTGTCCAGCGCCTTGAGACGTGCTCCCGACGTGAAAGGCGCTATACAAATGTAATTTGTTGTTGTTGCCTATTGAAATTAATGTAGAATTTCCATATTAGAGCACTCCATTTCAAGCAATCTGCTAATTAACCAAAATACTGAAGCAGGTTCAGATTAAACAACTGTTATTAAACAAACTGAAGTAATACTGTATGCAGAATATTCTCTTTCATTTACATGTTTATTTCAGCAATATTTAAAAAGTTATTTAAACCATTTCTTTGAAGGCAACATTTTATTACACTTGCAATAAACTGTGTGCAGAACTTTGAAAACTACTTGCTTCAGTAAAATTGGCAAAATAATGCAATATCCGTGCTAATTCTCATTTAACAGAATTCCATCATCACTGCAAAGCTTACATAAAAGGTGTTGACAATGTGCAAGGCAGAACCACAGCCAAATCCATTCCAGTCCCTTAGCAATACAACTAAATGAATGTAAAGCCAAATCTGACTTCACCCAGTTTGTCTCCACATTAGAGGAGTACATTGTAAACCCTTCAGTAACAAGTTTTAATTGGCAAAAGGCATGTTTAAATTTACTGTTTAAATTGGCACATAGTCAGAGAGATCTGAGCTTTCTCATAAGAATGTTTAAAATGTGGATACACTGCCATTTATGAATCATACATCATTGATCAGTTAATAAAAAAAAGCTCTCAAAATTATACAAAATTAACAAGGCAAAAAAACTTAGAAAATCAGCTTGAACTGAAGCCAAAACATGCTGCTAATACCAGAGAATATACTGAAAGATACATCACAATCTTCCCAAATGTATTTCATCCCGTCAACCACCTACTGTTTCCCAGCAAATTCAAGGCAATTAGCTTTGTATTACATGGAAACATTATCTACTCACAATCTTCTAGACAAAGAGCAAGATGTCACGTCAGCTTCCCAATCATCATTGGGATCATAAAAAAGATCTTCATCCTTGGAAAATGCACTTCCCTGTGGGAAGAATTTACTAAGAAAATTAATGTGTGCTTGGAGGAGTGGCAATTCAAAATCAAGCTTTCTCTTCTTCCCTAGTCAGTGAAGGATTCTTTGTTAAAAATAGTGAAGATCAATAATAGCAAATTTGGAACATTGAATATTTAGGACAGAGCAGACAGATCACAAAAGCAACTTCATATATGGGGTAGGAGTCCTGTAGCTCAGTAGTTAAAACACTTGCCTTGCAAGTGACAGATGTGGGTTCGATTCCTGGTAAGGCGAAACCTTGGTCAAGTTTCCTTACTCCACACACCTGATAATAATCCCTCAAGAAAAAAAACAATAGTAAAATTGATCACTTCAATCCACTGATTGCGGAACACTGCTGTGCGCAATTGGCTGCTGCATTTCACCCACAAATATACAGTCAATTCGCTTAACAGTATATTCTGTGAAGCGCTTTGAGATGTCTAGAGCACATGAAAAAAAAAGCTAAAACCTCCATCTCAATTAGTTACATTCTAAAGCACTGCCTTAATTCATTAATATTGAAAACAATGCCAAGTTATGAGCTTGACAATTGTTGATTATGCAATCCCGAATCATATAACTAATGAATTTTTTTATACCTTCACATTTAACAAGCCCAATCTTAATTGCAGCAAAAACTCATTTACTTGATTTTTAAATCTTGGTTTCTCAGATCTAAGACTCGTAAATTCATACCATACAAACTTGTACAGAGGCTTCATGCCCTGTGGAATGAAACATTCAATCACAAACTTTAAAAAGCTATTAACAAATAACTGGCAATAGCCAAAAGACAAACGTCTTTAATTTTATAAACCTCTCATAATTGGAACTCAAGAACTATAAAGCAACAATAATTGCTTCAGTTGTAACAGTCAAAGGAAAGCAGAAATACAAGATTACATTTGTATAGCGTCTTTCACGTCGGTAGGACGTCCCAAGGCGCTGCACAGTGTACAGCATTTCAGACCTGAGCTGGGGTCAGGGGCAGAGGGGAAGGGGGGTGATGGTCGAAGAGGAGGGTTTTGAGGCGGTATTTGAAGGAGACTAAGGAGGGGGCGAGTGGATACAGTGGAGCAGTGACACAGACAACGTTGTAAGCTATTCATACGGCATTCAAATTTGAGTATAGCTCTTAAAGGTCATTTTACCATATTGCACATCATATTGCACTCTATGAAAAACTTAACTGAAAACAAAATATATAAAATTAAGGTTTTTGTTGAAAGGTTCATCTCACATAAAAAGATTATCTCTTTTTGCTGAGTCTGAACTGGAATTGGCAAATAGCAGCATTACGGCGAGGGGCTATGACATAAATTTGTTTACTTTGAGCAGAACATGCCCAGATTCCATTTTTATGGCTCAATAACGTGCCAGGATTCAACTTATTTTACTTTTCAAAAAAGTGGTTCCATTTCATATCACTGCTTATCAAACCTCAACAGAAGTGGCATGATGTACAGAAGGAGCAATACATCAAATGAAGCAATAATTAGAAAAAAAGTTTAAGAAAGGTATTTATGCCAAAGTGAAATGTTTAATATTAAACAATCATACTGTATACAGGTAATTTAGATTATAAATATTTATGTAGGCCAATTAAATTATGGGCATGTATTATCTAATCGAGTGTATATAGTTTTTCAATTAACAGTTTGCAGAATTGTTAGTCACAGTACACATGAGAGAACATCGCTGAACTAAAACCCCCAAAGCAGTGTTGAAACAAATTAAACTATCAAAAATACATAGAAGAAAACAGTAAGTATAAAGAAAGGATAGAGAACTATATGTGAATGGGAGTATGTAGACAGATACTTTAGTATAAAACTGTTTTGCACAGAATAAACATAAAACAGCAGGATCACTGTTTTGTGCCAATAACATTGCATGGAATAGCAACACATTCACCTCAGTAATCTGTTATACCTCAGAACATCATGCGAAGAATTGGGACCATATCCCATTAACTCCAAACAAAACTACCTCTTTCCCTACACCAATATGGTGTGTTTACAAAGTTTTTTCCTGTAAATATTGCACAAAATAAATATTCTACGTATGTTACCATTAGAAGCTATCATTTTACCTGGTAAAGTTCTCTCATAGCTGTCACTTTCCACTCAAATTTCTCCAAGCTCCAGTAAGTGCTTATGCCCAGCTTAGTGTTCCGAACCTGCACCTGAATTGGAGTTTGAGGGGTGCTTATATTTTCCTTATCAGACTCTTCATGTCTACACAAAATACAAATCAACTTCAGTGTTGTATTTCTAAACAGTGAAGCATTGCTCGTTAGACACACCATACCCATCACATCAAATTTTAAAAGACAAACATAAATGAAAATCAGTTCTCATGAAATCGTCTGTTTGCCAGGATGTACATGAAAGTTTCATTTGAAAACTATAATTGTATATATAAAAAAATCCAACAACCGTCCCTATCTAATGAACCATAAGTGAACATACAAGGCAAACCTTATCCTAATAATCACCAAGCTTCAAACAAGCTCCGGTGTGGTTGTTTTCTGAACCAGACCTTTGTCATATTAAGCGAAACCAACTACTAATTGGAAACTGAAATCTGTTTCAGAGATTGAATGTCACTGTTCAAGAGCAAGAGAGCTGGTCATTATACAGATTTATTTCTTGGAGATACTGACCTACTGAAGACCGTGCATTTCCTTAGATTTTTGCTTATGGTGTTAGCCTCCTGGATCATCATTGAAAGTTTCATGGAGCTCCAATCTGAACTATCTGAAATAAGTTCAGGATAAATAGCGTATTTATTATACACAGCAAGTTAAAGTGACAAAGATGGGTTATTAACACAAAAAAAGAAGCTCAAATTACAAGTGGATCATTCTCATGGGTGCTACACCTAAATGCTACACCTAACCATTAACAAACCTACTTAAACCAAAAATATTTCGATTTTGGTATTGAATTTACAAATTAGTTTTCAAGTAGTTGAGTGTTCAGGGAATGTCAGACAATGGTGAAGCAGCATGTGAGGAACTGACTACTGTATGTGGATGGGAGAACAGTCATTAGAATGATAACATGAAGAGAGTCAGAAAGGAGTCAGAGATCAGTGATGTGACATTTCCAGGCTGCGACCACAAACATTCTTCTGCTATTCACCGAATTGAAAGAATTGTAAAACTATTCCAATGGTGTCCCTTCCCTGTGGTTCCTGTTATTCAATAATAACTGTGAGTGACTGACCTTTGTGGTTACATTTCAGAGGCTACCACACTATAAAATTGTTCATCATCTCAAGCTATGCGACATCAAATTTGAGGTCAGAATGTACGTTGGATGAGTGACAAACCGGGTCCCAGGCATCTGCCAACAAAAGACTGAAGCAGTCCCTCCTTACAAAGGACTAAAGCAGCTCCCTCCCTGCAAAAGACTTCAGCTCCCTCTGCTACTCTGAGCCATACCTAGCAACCTTGCAAAGAGAAGGCAGTTGGAATGAGGAAAAGATTAAACTATCCAATTGTTCCAACCCTCTTGTTTTTGAAGGACAGCTTACTTTTATAAGTGACACAGCTCTTAGTCTGTAGCCTTTTGTTTCGCTCTTTCTGTATTTTTNGTAAATCTTCTGTCATTTTTCTCTTTTCTGCTTCCAGTGCAGCAAGAAATTTAGCATGATGTATATTATGATCCTTCAGAGCCTAATGGAAAAGGTGAAAAAAAATTGTGAGTTACACAAGTACTAGAAGTAGGTTTTCTTATTAACTACACAAAACAACAACAACTTGCATTTATATAGCCCCCTCCCTTCACACGGGATAGCTTCCCAGAGTGCTTGACCCTAAAGTTAATGAGAATAGATTTTCCACTTTGAATATACATGTATACAATTTTCAGGATAAGGTAAAGGGAAGGGCAGCAGTGTAGTACTGAGCACTTGTACTGTGTGTATAGTGGGAGGTAGAAGGTATTTTTAAAAATTTCTCTGTCTTCCCTTCACATCAAAATCCTGACTTAAGTTTCTATCAGTATGGGAATGGCTTTGAGTAATCATGTTTATTTTGAATGATTTCTAACATTACAGTACCTGTTTTGCGGCTAAAGTCTCCATCTGCAGACGTTTCCTATTCAGTTCCACTTTTTGTTCAAGTTGCCTCTTTGCATCCTGCAGCTCCTCCATCTTGGAAACTGCTTTTTTAGTATTAAGCTCCTGCAGTTTTTTCTTACAGGCTTCCTTTTCCTGAACCACAAAAAATCACAGCAAATCATATTTCTACATTCTTGTAGCTCTAGGTCACCTGAACCCTAATATGAGCCTACTTCTTTATAAACTGTTCCCAGAATATAATTAATCTAAGAGTTCTGCTATTTGTGACATCAGGTTTCACAAACAAAAATTATTCAATTTCTCTTTCAGGACCAATTCAAAAGCTTTGCTTTCAGTGTTACACAAATACTGCAATATACTGGAAACATCCATTTATAAACACACCTCTTTTGAACCAAGTCATTAACCTAATAGACATAATGTGATTGTTTCTATAAACAAGTTTCAAAGAAACATTGCGAAATTGTTACATGTGGAATTAGTTTTGATATTTTGGATACAGTACAATTTAAGTTACTATACACATACATAATTGCTACACAAAAACCTTGTACTGTGAAAAAACATGCTGCATGCTCCTGTAAGAATGTCCATTAAAACTAACCCTTATCTTTATTATCTCCATAATCTTTAGTAACTGTAATTTCACAAGTCATTAACTCACTTGTGAGTAATGAGTTCTTGGAATATAAACATAAAAAAGGATATTTAGCTGAACTACCAAGCCATTACCACCAGTATTGCATTTGGCCTATCACATTTTCAAACACAAGCACGCCATAGTATAAATATTAACCAGAAATCACATCCACAAAAAAAAATTGAATATTAGAATGCATTAAATAAATTACCAATTCCTTTTCCAAATCTTTAATCTTATTTTCATACAGTGATTTTTGACTAGATAATTCCTTCTGAGCCATCTCCTTTGCAACTTGGATACCCTGCATCATTTCTCGTTTGGCTTGTAACCGTGCCTCTTCAATTTCAGCTTCAAGTCTGCCAACATAAGATGCAAGCAGAACTTCAATATCGAAAAGTCATCGTATAATAGCAGTTTACATATCCAAAAATTGAGATTTTAAAGAAGTTGCAAAAGGAGACTTTGAAATGGCTTACATAAAGAGTATGAATAAATTGACAGGTTGATGCAGGCAAATTGCTCTCTGACAAAGGGTTAAAGAGAGTGGTGTGAATCAAAAATGAAGATGTTTGGAATAAGGAGAGAAAACACTAAATAAATGATATACTAAAAGGGCATTTATGCAAGCCTTAAAAGATAATGAGTTAGACACAAGTTAAATCATTTCATTTGAAAGGTGTTCAAGAGTGTGTGAGAGAGACAGGCAAGTGAAACTGAGAATCATAGACCTAATGAATTTTACCGGGTCTTATGTAAAAGTAAACAGCTGACCAAGCTGAAACGTCATTAATGTAACTTGTTAAGAGATAGTTAGCTCTTATTTTTCATTTACCTTGCCTGTTGAGCTTGCAAAAGTTCATTTTTTGCAAATTCAAAGTCCTTTGGACCATCTCTCAACAGTGCATTCGCACAAGAAGCTCGTCGTCCACTCTGCACCTCTACAGGATGATTAAACTTAAAGTAATGGTCGCCACCTAGAATCACTCTGTCCCCCTACAACAAGTGGCACAGATTTACATTCATCAATCCAAAATAAAAACTGCTCTTAAATCAAACTCACAATTAACTGTCCTAAAGAAATTCATTTTATTTCCTCTTCCACCCCACCTTAAATTGTTCTTCTTCCTCAACAGATAATTTATGTTTCTCATTAACAGGAGCAAGCTGCTTCCAGAATCTTTGATTGGTTTCTAGGTTGTCAACAAGATGGGTTGATAGTCTTACAATTTTCTCTCATTACTCCCCTTCTTGGGAAAAAGTTCACCCCTGCTAAGCATTTCCTGAATGGCCAGTTTAAACGAGGGCCTTGCCATGTTGGTAAAGTCAGAAGAATGAATAGCATTATGCCACTCGCTTCCTCTGAATACCCCATTGAACAAGTGATCTATCAAAGTGGAGCACAACAAAGAATTTGCTTTACGAAAATAGTTGGACTGTATTGAAGTAACTTACATGATGTAGCACTGTGGAGTCTGTAATTAAGTTTCCATTCACATAGGTCTTTGCATCTCCTATTGGCGCAATCATTACTGTACTATTTAAGTTTTGTATGATACTGGATAAAAATAATACAAGGAACATTTTGTAAAAAAAATCCTTTTGCAATTCATTCATTAACTTACTACCAAACAGGCAAAGCAATACGCAATCCAAAGAGAGAGGGGGAGAAAAAAAAAGTTTTACAGTGAATTATATCTCAAGACTTTTTAAAAGCACTTTCACATCCAATTCAGAATATTACAACTTAAATTCAGGAGTTTCTTGTAGAAGGAAACAGTGTTTGCTTATTTTTTAAAAACAAATATACTTTAAAAACAAATAGGGGGATTGCGTCAAGTACCTTAGACTATCTATCAAACCTGTTACTCTATTAAGTTCAACATCTCATCAATGCTATGAAAAGTTAGTCTCAATTACAACCGTAAGTATCACATATAGATCAAAATCAATTGTAGTTACATGAGTCAAAGGAAAACAAAAATGTATAAAACAAAATTGAACTTGTGCAGCAAACTTTAATTGATCAGAACATCGCAGATCTTAGGGCTAGAACACTAACTGAAGCACAATTGTCATTTCTCCATCTATAGAACAGCTTGCGATTTAAAATTACAATAAATAGTACAATTTTTTTTAATATACTAGATGACACCAAACAATTTCACCAACTGCAGAATAAACATTTCCAGGCTTTGGAAAGGAAACAAAATAGCTTTAAAAAATTACAGACCAAAAGCAAATCGTGTAGAGAACTCAAATAATTCATTTTTAAACTCACCAATGATCATCAGCAATGAGTGCTCCAGACAGCTGGATATCATGTGTGGAGTTTGGCTTATGTTTCCCCACTCTTGTCCGACCTTCCTTGATCATATACAAGAGCATCTCTGAAATTTGGGGATCTTCATTGAGATTAACTAGGTTTGGCAAACTGTTGTCCACTTTAAAAGTGATTCCTGCTTTCTGCAAATAGATAAATTCCAATGAATAAGAGCATCAAACTATCACCATTTCACGTTTATATTTAACAGTGACCATTATCCAGAATCAAAATAGCTTTTCGGACTTGTCCAATAAACATGCAATTGTTCAGTTAAGAAGAGCATCTCATCCTTAAACATGAACATGCACATAGTGAGAAACATTGAATTGTCAATACAAAATAAGAGACCATCTTAAATTGATAATATTCTATAAGCGTTTCACAGAAACAAAGATACAAACTTGCAACTCTCTTGCTTCCTCAAGTTTTCTCTTTTCTGCTTGGTCTAACTTTTCTCTCCACCTCCTAAAATTGGCACAGAAAAACATATCTAGAATGAGGCATCTGTATTCATAGAATATTATGGGCCAATTAGACTACAGTACTTACTCAACACTACATACTTAAAACATGGAAGCAACAGCACTTAGCTTACCTTTGTACTTCTGCCATTTCTCTCTCCTGTTGACTGAGTTTTAGCTTTAAAGCTCCTATTTCTTTCTGGCTCACTTTATACTTCTCAGATTGAATTCCTTGGCTACTCATCTGGGCAGCTCTCAGGTTTTCAATTTCTGCTTTTAGATCTGATTCAGTGAGACATTGAGAGAAACGATAAAATCAAATAGCAACCCCCATAAGTCATTCAAACAACCTCATCCATAGTGCACCAGGATTATATGTATCAAATGCAAGGATTATAATTTTAGAACATTTCCAATACACTTGATGTTTAAAACATGACATGCAAGTAAAACAGCACCACTTGCTGGCCACTTGAAGGATGTTCCCAGCCAGGTTTACTTGTGGCTTCAGCAATTGCACCGTTAGATCTTAACAAGCAGCACAAATAGCAATCATTTCCTCCGGATTTTTGTGACATGGCACACAAAATTACAAATTGTACTACAGATATTTTGCTATCCATTGAATGACTTTAAATATTCAAGTCACTTAAACATTTAATTGTGTACCTGATTACATTAGTGTTGAGTGGCACACAGTTAAGATTTGCATTTTATTTGCTGTAAAATGTAGCCATTACATTTTATTAGTACTTTTCTTAATTTTACTCTTTAAATTGATATACCAGTTCTCATCATAAAATACTTACAAATGTTATGCAAAATGCTTAGCCTACCTCTTATCAGTTTTGCATTGGAGTCTTCGTTCACTTTTGCAATATTGATAATCTGGCGAGCCCGTTTAGCATACCTAAGTGTACTAAGAGTTTCTTCCACATTGGAAGCAGATGGACTGACGGTAGCTATCATAGCTGTCTTTGAGTTTCCACCAATACTGTCCTTCAATAACCTGTGGCATAATTAATGAACCCCAAAAATATATCATTATTTTTCATTCAGCAATGAATATTCCAGTATTTACACAAAAATAAAAGAAATGACACCTCTTGGACAAATGTTACTGAATTTTAAGCAGTTTCTAATTAATTTGCAATTACATCAGAAAATTTTAGAACTATAGTAGTCTATTCAGAATTCACCAGAGCTGTTGTCCACAAATCATAACTCACCATGTGAGCACTGATTCCCTGTAAGGGACGAAGATCTTCTTCTTAGACTGTGACTGTTCAGAAAGTGCACAAATGACCTTTCCCAGAGTGAAAAGAGATTTATTTATGCTCACACCCTCCTGTAACAAAGATGATAAGGTTTTGGTCTTTTCTATTTTCATCAAAGTGAGAAAATCTTCCACAAGTAGTGCAGGAGTGAATTACAGATACAGCTCACAATCTTTCTTATTTTGTTAATGCAAAAATGTAGGGAAAACTGGTTCAACACTAATAACACATTTCGGTGAAAATAGTATGTGGGGCAGGAGGGGAAAGTAAATATGAAGTGAATGTGAGAGGTTTATCTGGAGGGTTGTTGATAACAACAACTTGCATTTATATAGCGCCTTTCATGCGGGGCAGCAATCACTTGTGAGCCAGTGGCAAGAATACAACTTACTGAGACAAGCAGACACCTGAAAATGACTGGTGAGACCAACCAAGCTTGGCTTTGATACCTCAAACAACAGATAGTCAATGCCAAAACTCACATATCATCAACATGGGGTAATTGTTTGGGATGGGGGCAAAAGTACCGAGGGGTACATAAATTAAAGCAGCAAACCTCAAATAAGAATTATTTTATTGATAGCAGTTCTAGGGGATAGGAATGTAATCTTAGTTTATGAGTTTTAATATTATCACTCAAAATAGATTGTGTATAATTTGAAACACTTGCCTTCAGCCTTTCGCCACTGGTCTGAGCTGTAAAGCAACGCTCACTTCCTGCCAGATCCACCAGGTTTACTCTGCTCGTGACACTGTGCTCATGCTCCTCTTCTTCTACAAATTCAGTCTCAAGAAAAAAAGTAAAAATGAATAGTTTGAAAGGCTATTAAAAAGCAGAATCTCTATATCATTAATAATAATCCTTGCATTTGATAATAGTGTTTACAACGTCTTTGAGACCTCTCAAGTAAAGTGAATTGACTGAATATTTTGTGGGCGAAACGCAGCAGCCAATTGCGCACAGCAGTGTCCCACAAACAGTCGTGGGTTGAAGCGACAAATTTATTATTTTTTTGAAGGAATTATTACCCCTAAATTAATTGAATGAGAAAATAAATTGATAATATATCCATTAAAGGCAACTTCATTTTACCTTGGTCTGAGTCATGACAAGTGTGAAGACTGAGTGAGACCTGGAACTCTTTTCATTCATGCCTGTGGCTGCAGTTGCCCTTTGTTTGTTGCCTAGTTCTAGCCAACCCTAAAGTTAGATGAAAAAGAATGAGCACTCACAATGACACCGACTTAAATTTCTCAAGGCAAACAACAACAACAAGATTCCATTTATAGAGCGCCTTCACGTCGGGAGGACGTCCCAAAGCGCTGGACAGAGTACAGCATTTCAGACCCGAGCTGGAGTCGGGGGGGGGGGGGGGGGGGGGAGGAGAAGGGAGGGGAAGGGGGGTGGCCGATGGCATGGTCGAAGAGGAGGGTCTTGAGGTGGGACTTGAAGGAGGCTAAGGAGGGGGCGAGGCGGAGTGACTGGGGGATGGAATTCCAGAGGTTGGGGGCAGAGTGGCTGAAGGCTCTACCGCCAATGGTAGGGCAGGTGGATCGGGGGACGTGAAGCAGGCTAGAGCGAGCTGAGCGGAGGGAATGGGCGGGTTGGTAGGGGGTTAGGAGATCGCAGAGGTAGGGTGGGGCGAGGCCATGGAGAGCTTTGTATGTGAGGACCAGGATCTTGAACTGGAGCCGCTGAAGGATAGGGGCGAGTGGGGGAGATGGGGTCACGGAGTTTGGTGTGGGAGAGGACATGGGCTGCAGAGTTCTGGATTATCTGCAGACTATGGAGGGAGGAGTTGGGAAGGCCGACAAGCAGGGTCGAGCCTGGAGGTGATGAAGGAATGAACAAGAGTTTCAGCGGCCTAAGGGGTGAGGTAGTGGCGGAGTCGGGCGATGTTACGGAGGTGAAGGAAGAGCGGGTCATGGCTTTAATGTGCGGGAGAAGACAGTTGAGGGTTGATCAAGACCCCTGGGTTCCTGACTGGCTTGGTGAGTTGGAGTGCGCAACCGTGGAGGTTGACGCTGCCAGAGTCTGAGGTCCAGAGGCGCTAGCGCGAGCCAATCAGGAGGGCCTCAATCTTGTTCACATTCAACTGTAGGAAATTTGCCCTCATCCAAGGCTTGATGTCCGACAGACAGTCTGTCAGGACAGCACTGGTCCTGGAGTTGAGGGTGGAGGAAGAGAGATAGAGTGGGGTGTCATCTGCATAAATATGGAAGTTGACCCCATGTCTGCGGATGATGTCACCAAGGGGGAGCATGTAGATATTAAAGAGGAGAGGACCAAGGACAGAGCCCTGGGGGATGCCAGACGTGACAGTGCGGGGGCTGGAGGAGAAACTGTTAGAGGCAACAAAGTGGAGAGGGTGAGAGAGATAGGAATCAAACCAGGCAAGGCCAGATCCGTGAAGATTGAGTAAAGCAGAGAGGCGCTTTACAGACAAGTCCCCATTGCAAATGAGGGACACTTTTTATTACTAAATCATTTGAATTAATAGATTAAATGCTCACCTGAATATCGAAATAAGAGCTCACAACATAGCTGCAAAATAAATATCCCAAAAAATTGTGTTAGAATAAAATGAGTGTTTACTGAAGGAGATTCAATTAAGGCTGGGATGGAAATGGGTGGAGGGGAGAGGGTATAGTGCACATTTAAATTCTACTCATGCATTAACAAAATATTCAATTATTGATAAAGCAAATGGTGGACTTTCTATTTCTACTCTATCGCACAAAATATTTTATTTCATGCAATAGGCTACAACACAATTCGAATGAACACAATTCAAAGACGTGTATATAATCAACTTACGATGACAGATCAGCGACATAAGGTCCATATACTGGATGTTCTCTGATTCGAAGCTGTAAGCAAGTACAGATAAAAAGTATTTGAATAAAAACCTCAAAGTAATGCAACCCTGGTATTATGAATGAAAACACCAAATATATTTGATGCCCCTATTTCTGATCACTATTAGGCAATTCCTGCTAGAATTATCTTCTTGTCGGTCTCAGGGGAGGAAAGGATCAAGTTCAGTTGCAATGCCTCCAAAGGCCAAATGACCTTCTAACACCAATCAACTCTCACACACTGGTGCTATCAGCAGTCACAATCTTGATATTTGTGCAAATTAACTTCCATGTGCAACTTTCTAAAAATAAATGTTGTATTGGTGACTATCTACTCACCTGCATTGCAATTGTTCCAAACAGAGAAGAGATTAGTTAGCCCTTTCAGACAATAAATGCATGTCATAAGCCTGTGTATGAAATAATTCACCACTAAAATAAAATTAGGATTTGACTAAAATAATGCAAATAATTTCCTACAAACTTACCGACTGTTTTACTTGGGCTTTTCCACTTGTGGCAGTCAATAAATCATGAATTCTCTCATTGTAGACTTCAAAATAGCTCATTTCAATATGGTAAGTAACCTTTGAAAATGGAGAATAAAGCATTGCTGAGTGCTGTCATTGGGATTAGAATTCGGACGATTGCTTATGGTGTATTGAAAAGACATTATGGACAATTCATTTTCAAATGTCTGTACCAGTAAACCTTGTACAGAAGGATTTATTTCAAGATCCTGGTCCTCACCTTCAAAGCCCTCCATGGTCTTGCACCCCACTACCTCTCCAACCTACTAACCCTCTCCCATCCTGTTCGCTCCCGCCGCTCAGCAGGCTTTGGCTTGCTTCACATCCCTTGCCTTGCTCTCCCCACTGTCGGTGGGTGGGCCTTCCGCCACTCTGCACCCACCCTCTGAAACTCCATCCTGCAGTCCCTCCATCTCGCCCCCTCCATCGCCACCTTCAAGACTCACCTCAAGACCCTCCTCTTCGACCCTTCTTTCGATCTCCAATCAGAAGCAGGAAGGCAGATAATCATTATTATTTGAGTTCATTACTACATTAGATTGGAATAGCAAAAATAAGTGCTTAAAACACTTACCTGCTGCATTTTAGGATTGGCTACACTGGCAAACAGCTGTTGACAAAACCTTGGAATAATCCCTTCATCACCGAACCCCATCATCCTTTAAAATCAGCATTTAAAGTGGCATTTAAAATCATTAACAGACAAATTAGATGAACTGGCAGATAGCCAAAATTGACTATCCTGAATAATTCATAGAATTTCATATATTTAACTGCTCTACCAGTAATAAGAGCATCACAACTGGGAATGCCCGTTGTTTCCTATTAATGCATCTCAGCCATCCACCAGCTCAATTTGAATAGCTCCAATTTAGATCAACAAAACAAGAGGTCAAACATCAGCTCCAATTGCTGGATTACTGCTTTCTGCAAACCAGTTTCTTTTTGTAAAATAATGATGCATCGATTCTTTGCTGAGACTCTACTATGTTACAATACACACATACACACATTTAGTTTACTATTAAGATCCCATTGAAAAGAACCTAACAATTGGTATAAATTCAGCGAATCTTGACACACAGACATTGCAGCACAGGGCAGATTTAAACTGCATCATAACTCGACTGGAACAAATGTTACGTGTGCCCTAAGAAATTAGTCTTTAAGTCAGGGGTTTACATTTTAAGATATTGATCAAATTAGTGATAATTCATGCCATTTTCAAATGTATTACCATATACTGCACTGCAGGCAAAATTGGTATGCATCATTAGAAACAACTTTGCTGTACCCGACTTACGTGTATGACTTGCCAGACCCAGTCTGTCCATATGCAAATAAACACGCGTTATATCCCTGAAAGGCCTTCTCCAGTAGAGGTGATCCAACAATCTTGTACACTGATTCCTGGCTTGAAAATTCCGGATGAAGCTCATCAAATGACCAAAAGGAAAAGTCATAAACAAAGGCGTATATTTGATTGGTTTCTGGATGTTGTACAACCGTCTCCTGCCCGCTCATGAAAATGACTTGACGTGCATTTTCCCTTTTTTCCCTTAATAAAAAAAATTAAAGATTCAGCAGAAATACAAATTATAACCACTCCCTACGTTACCAGCATACCAAGAATAATATTAATGATAAAAAAGGAAAAGTTTGCTCTGAAAATAAAGAAATTAGGGGAGGGAAAATAGAGACAAGAGAGATTAGTGAGATTAAAAATAAAAACTAACCAATTTTGTGAAAATAGAATTTACAAAATAATTGTTTTGTGTGCTTTTTTTTAAAAAAAGAAGCCTTTGTTATGGGTATTTGCTCTTTCCCAACAATTCGGAGCAGTTACTATGTTTGTGCATTCATTTTGCATATAATATTTTGTAACGCAGTTAGCAAAACAAAACCTAGAAGCCATTTACCTACAAGAAACACTGCCCTTGCACAGTAATTGTCAAGCATTTTGCAATGTTTTGATGTTACTATTCCTCCAGCCCCCACACTGTCACATCTGGCGTCCCCCAGGGCTCTGTCCTTGGCCCTCTCCTCTTTAATATCTACATGCTCCCCGTTGGTGACATCATCCGCAGACATGGGGTCAACTTCCACATGTATACGGATGACACCCAACTCTATCTTCCTGCTTCCACCCTCAACTCCAGGATCACTGCTGTCCTGACAGACTGCCTGTCAGACATCAAGTCCTGGATGAGGGGAAATTTCCTACATGTGAACAATGTAAACAAGACTGAGGCCCTCCTGATGTGCTCCGCCAGCACCTCAGGTTCTGGCAGCGTCAGCCTCCATGGTTGCACACTACAACTCACCAAGTCAGTCAGGAACCTAGGTGTCTTGTTCGACTCTCAACTGTCTTCTCTCACACATTCAGGCCATGACCAGCTGTCCTGCTGACCCACCTGCCCCACCATTGGCGGGAAAGCCTTCAGCCACTCTGCCCCCAACCTCTGGAATTCCATATCCCAGTCACTCCGCCTGGCCCTCTCCTTCAAGTCCCGCCTCAAGACCCTCCTCTTCGACCATGCCATCGGGCAACCCCCTTCCCCGCCCGACCCCAGCTCGAAATGCTATACTCTGTCGAGCGCCTTGGGAAGTCCTCCCGATGTGAAAGCCGCTATACAAATGTAATCTTGTTGTTGTTATTGGCACTACAAAAATACAGATTATAAAATAGTCAATTCACTTTACAGTATATTCTGTGAAGCACTTTGAGACGTTTTGAAGACGTGATGAGGCTCTACATCAATTGCAAGGATTATTATTATTATTACTATTAACCGCTTTTCATTTGCTTTGGATTGAAAGAGAAAATAAATGATGGTTTAGAATTTGGTGGAACAGCCCTGAAGGGCAATTACTTCTCCTAATCAAGGTGATACAAAAAGTCATTGCAAGGACTCATAGCCACAACCAAATTCCTAATATTCCACATTAGATCAACCTCTAAAACTAGCTGTAAGCTGTACTAAGAAGTGCAGAAACAAGACTTTCTGCTGCAGGATAGTAAATATTTTGTAGAGGTAAGTGATCTTGTGAGATCTAAAACCAAAAGCTATGTAGGTAAAATCAGAACATAGACTATCAATTGTCAGATACTTCCAGAGCAATGCTTAAGACAAACCTATCAGACTACTTTAAAGTTAATAAGCACACTCCTCATTTATTTGTCTCAACCTGTTTATATAATCTAAAATATATAATGTGACTGGTGTTTATAATACAAACACCAGGATTTGTGATTCACAAGTGCACAGGTAACATGTCAGTTTGAGTTACTTTGGATTTCGTATCCACAAAAATGACCTGTCATTGCCATGGCAAGTAAAAGAAAAGACAGATGAGTCACATGAATACGAGATTTTCCAATTTTAAAAAAAATGGATCGAGAGATTTAGGGTGGAGCCCTGCAATAAGTGATTACATTCTCATAGTGAAAGATGACTGTTCACTGTGAGCCTTGTTTAATTGTCTTATTAAAAGGGCAGATGTCCACCGCATTTCTACACGTTCAACTTCTGTGCTTGCACTCGCAACTCATCAATGTTGCAAATGACATCAAAAACAGTGCATCAAGAGAAAACAAGTTTCCTGGAAAAGGTGGTGGAGGGTGTGGCACAGTTGCTTCGGTGTTGGGGTGTAAGTGAGTAACTTAAGAAAATTTTTGATGAATTTATTGAACTTATACACTTACCGATTGCTGAAAGGCCTCACCCGAACAGCCACCGTCACACTATCTTCTCCATTCCAGAGCTCATTCCCTGCAGAAGATTTCTGTGTTGGCATCTCTTCTTTCCCAATAGTTCCTCCACCACTTCTTGGTGGCTTTCGATCTCCATTGTCTACTATTGTATTTGTCAAGTATCTTGAAGTATTACTTCCGGAATCCATTACTGTCTTGATCTGGAAAGAGCTTGCCATGGTTTTAACAGACACATTTGCTGAGTCTTTGATTTCTTGATGATGACCTTGTGTGACTGCTGCAGATTTGATTCCTTCAGATATTGAAGTCTTGATTCTATCCAAACCTCCTCTTTTAACAGCTTGTCTATTTAAGTTTTCTGATTTGCAACTAACTTCTGCACCAGTCCAAACGGAAGATTTTGTGTGATTTTCCTCCCCTTTGCCTATCGATGTGTGATTTGTACTTGCAGGAATTTTATTTTTTAAAATGCTTTTGATATCCATTCCCTTTTGCTTCATTGAAAACTCCTTCAAAGAAGCAAGACTTGCTGAACCCATGGATTTGGTTTGCAAAAGTTTGCTTGTTCCCTGCACTGAAGTAATATCCAATGTATCATTTTGTTCTTTGCATAGTATGGTGTCCTTCAAAGAGCTACTTCCTCTCCCTGAATTACCTGCTTTCATATACCGCTCAAGGTTAAACATTCTCTTTCCTTCACCTAATTCAATACTTCCTTCAGTCTCATAGTCAGAATAGGGAACTCTTTTACCTCCAGTTTTTCTTCTCCGGAGCGTAAACCTACTATCTAACTTGGTTTCTGTAGTTCTAATACAAGCCGATACCACACAATTTGTACTAATCTCATTGCTTTTTTNCATGGATGATGTTGATTGCCCTTGTGCATTATTGTCCGGCCCTGGCAATTTGACCTGTTGATCAGATCTGGCACTTTCTTTGGTGAAAGAATTGGTTGACTTCTTCTGCAATGAATGTAGAGCACCAATTACCATGGTTTGATTCCTACAAGGTGTGTTGCACACGGGCATTTTACCGCACTACACTTTGTAATCACTGCAATGAATATCCTTTTGCCTACTGAACTTTATGAAGCAGAACATTCATATTTTCAGTCTTCAAGTATCTTTTTTGTAGACATGATTTCCAAATGATGTTGAACTGTACAAAACAGATTAAATATAACTATTTTAAGGTAGTTAGTCAAACATTTTCAACGGTGGCACGCACGCATTCTATATATTAGTCATCAGACCGTAAAAAATATAAGCAGTTCAACTATTCAAGAACAATCCTATTTTACAGTAGCCCGATCAACATGCATTAATTAATTCTACAGTATTTTCATATTATTATATTAAAAACATTTTACACAATTAATTTGGAAGTGGTATAAGCAGGGGCATTTGTAAAATAAGCATCAATTGCAGAGGAACTGTTTTCAAAGGCGCTATATCAAATGCAAGGATTGTTATTATCAATATTAAGACGCCGTATTGACTGCTGGAGCCTCCACAAAAAAGAAAACACCATAAAAGGTTGCAAGCAGTTTTGAAATGGCTTCCAAAGGAACTCAAACGTGCAAAGGCTCTTGTCACTTGTTGTCATGAAGGCGCAGGAAACCCTCATTTCATTTGATTTCGTAATAGCAAGAATCGGTTCGGTGATCATCTGGACATCTGCGGCCATTAGCTCCTTGGACTCGGTTTTAATGAGTTTTCAGACAAATTTTTTAAAAATTCCTGTGTCTCATTCAGTAAACGTTGTTAAAGCACAGATTAGGACAGAGACCTGATTACTCTCTCTTCGCTTCACACCTCTTAAAAGTCTAATTCTAGTACTCTGGCTTAAACCAGGTCCCCCAAAAATCTACTCCATAAAACAAAATAAAATAAAAAAAATAACCTGCACAACTCACAGCTGTGTTGGGAGAAACGATGCTGAAGCCTCACATGTTATTAGAAGGACTGAAACCTAAGATGATCTCGAGTCCTGCCCCCCCCCCCCCCCCAACCCTTGCCCTGCCCCCCCCAACCCTTGCCCTGCCCCCCCCCAACCCTTGCCCTGCCCCCCCAACCTTTGCCCTGCCCCCCCCAACCCTTGCCCTGCCATCCCAAACCTTGTCCTGATCCCCCCCAACCCTTGCCCAACCCTTGCCCTGACCCCCCCCCAACCCTTGCCCTGACCCCCCCCCAACCCTTGCCCTGACCCCCCCAACCCTTGACCTGACCCCCCCCAACCCTTGCCCTGACCCTCCCCAACCCTTGCCCTGACCCTCCCCAACCCTTGCCCTGACCCCCCAACCCTTGCCCTGACCCCCAACCCTTGCCCTGACCCCCCAACCCTTGCCCTGACCCCCCAACCCTTGCCCTGACCCCCCCAACCCTTGCCCTGCCCCCCCAACCCTTGCCCTGACCCCCCCCAACCCTTGCCCTGACCCCCCCCAACCCTTGCCCTGCCCCCCCAACCCTTGCCCAACCCTTGCCCTGCCCCCCAACCCTTGCCCTGACCCCCCAACCCTTGCCCTGCCCCCCCAACCCTTGCCCTGACCCCCCCCCCAACCCTTGCCCAACCCTTGCCCTGACCCCCAACCCTTGCCCTGACCCCCCCCAACCCTTGCCCTGCCCCCCAACCCTTGCCCTGCCCCCCGACCCCCCAACCCTTGCCCTGCCCCCCCCAACCCTTGCCCAACCCTTGCCCTGCCCCCCAACCCTTGCCCTGACCCCCCAACCCTTGCCCTGCCCCCCCCAACCCTTGCCCTGACCCCCCCCCCAACCCTTGCCCTGCCCCCCCAACCCTTGCCCAACCCTTGCCCTGACCCCACCCCCCCACCCCCTGCCCAGTCCTAGACCAGCTGAGAGCTGAGGAGGGAGGGGCTGGACCTGGGGGTACCTCGGGCGGCGATCACTCACCTGACAGTCTCCGGGTTCCCATCGTTTACAGCCACCGCGGCCTCCGGCCCCGGACGGAAAATAGACCGACCGACCGACCGGGTCAGGGAGCCTCTCACCCCCGGCGCTGCCCCCCCCCCCCGGGCCCTGCGCCCCGGTTGTGACGGTGTCTCCCTCTCTGTGTCTCTCACACTCACTCACTCTCTGTCTGTGTCTCTCTCTCACTCACTCTCTGTGTCTCTCTCTCACTCTCTGTGTGTCTCTCTCTCACACTCACTCTCTCTGTGTCTCTCTCTCACTCTCTCTGTGTCACTCTCTCTGTGTCTCTCTCTCACTCTCTCTGTGTCACTCTCTCTGTGTCTCTCTCTCACTCTGTGTCTCTCTCTCACTCTGTGTCTCTCTCTCACTCTCTCTGTGTCTCTCTCTCACACTCTCTCTCTCTCTCTCTCGGCGCCTTCCAGCTTTCGAATCGCTGAGCCGAAGCCCGATTGGCTGTGGCCGCGCGACGTCACACGCCGCGGGCAGGCGGGGAGGGGGGGCGCGATGACGTCAGCGCGCACGCACGCGCGCACTGACCCCGCCCCCCCCCGTCTGGGTCTCTCTGCAACAGCAACAATGACAACAACAACTTGTGTTTTGCAAACCATGTCCAAAGGGATGTTTCCAAACCCCCCCTTAAAAAAAAAACCCAAGAAAATTCATCCAAAGCACAAAACAATCACAAGCAAAACGTCGAAACAACCCGAGAAGAATATGTAAAAAAATAAATCTAAATGTAAAATATAAACACAAAATACAAAAACAAAACAATAAATATTTGCACTGTACTGTCCGCATTGCGGTCACAATTCCGGGGAAACGTCAGAACTGTTCGACTGGCGTCGGCGTGAACTACATGCCAGAGGCCACGTGTGTCGTTGGAACATTGAATCTTTCACAACCAAATGAAATCTACCGTATAAGTAAAGTGGAGAATGTCCAGTAGCTGGATATAATTTTGCACTGTTGGAAGTCGAGCAGTTTTTTCCATAAGATGGTGCTGTTGAGCTCCCTATTGTTGAGAACGGTATTCAAATCTGCCATTTTAAAAATTGGATGTACACTATCTTCTTACCATAAGAATGACATGCCGCGCAGCCTCTGATATGGAGTCCTGTAGCTCAGTGGTTAGAGCACTAACGCTACAAGCGAGAGACCTGGGTTTGATCCCCGCAGGGCCAAAATGCTGGGCAGGTTTCCTTACTCCACACTCCTCTGTTTATCTAGCAGTAAGCAGGAACCCAGTTGTTAGTCAATTGGTAGATCACTTTTCCGGGGATAATAATTTCTTCAAAATAATAATAATAAATTGGTCACTTCAATCCACGACTCTTTGTGGGACACTGCTGTGCGCAATTGGCTGCCATGTTTCGCGCACAAAATGTACAGTCAATTCAATATACAGTATAGTCTGTGAAGCACTTTGAGACATCTCAAAGACATGATAAGGTACTATATCGAATGCAAGGATTATTATAATATATAATGTACTGGACAGAATTTTATTCTTTTGCACCACCTCAACATTGAGTTTTAGCATAATACAGTGCAGTGATATCTGTATTTAATAATACAAAACCATGATTCCTGCCTTTGAGAATAATGCCAAATGAGAGATCGGGTGACTGAATTACTCTACAATGGTAACCTGTGTATATGCTATGGTATCCTGTATATAACTTGAGATGAAAATACAGTAAAAGATTCAAATGAGAATGGTGATTTTCCATCTAAATGAAACATAGCATATAGACCTATGGGAAATAGAGCTTGGCTTCATAAGCTTTTTGACTGTTTTGCTAAAATGTAAGATATACTTAACATATCTTATTTATGTTAACACCTTATCTGTTTCTGTTGTTTATAACAAGATAGGGAGGAGAAAATATTTCCTACTAGATCTATTACTGATCGTATTTGTTCTGTGCTGATAGTTTTCAGTTTACCACACTATCCAGATTTCAACCACTTGTGCTGAAGAAAGAATTAAAGTTGGTTTCTGAGCAAAATGATCAGATTCAAAAATACCTTCATCGGTTCTTTTATAGAATTGATGTAAAGATTGAAACAGCTGGTCTAATTTTGTCTTTGTGTTCGGCTAATCGATTATCATTGTTCAATAAGTCTCCAATGCATTTCAATTGCAATAAATCATAAGCAATGTGTTTCCTTATCTGGTCACATCAGTGGTTTGACACATACTGCATCTGATTCCCCGCACACTGAATCATTTTGAATTTGATTTGTTTTATTTATAATCTGTGAGAGGATATAGGACAAAACACGGGGAAACTCACTGACTTTGTGGCTCAGCTCAAGTATTGGATTCCATAAATAATCAACTAAATGTGCTGTAGAGTTGAACTATCTCTTCAATTTACAGACAATGTTAAAATCTACTTATGACCTCAGTTACTCCAATGCAATGCAATGCAACAGTCTCCAGTTCGAAAGAATTACAGCAAAATGACTAAAGCAGATTCATGTTTTGCAAGGCAGCAACAAAATGTCAGCTCAGAACATTTCATTGCTGGATAGATTCTCAAGAGAAACATTAACACAGCAAATTACATTCTGAAATGAGAACGGGCTATTGATATGGAATTTCATAGGTTGAAGTCTGTTGTTTTCTTCATTCTTCACCCAAAAAAATATTTTGTGGTTTGCGATTACTGTGGAAACTGTAATAGTTTATCAGGAACCCCACCTCTTCCTGAACTCTGTTTTTCTTTCCTTTCACCTCCTCCAGAGCCATGATGATGACCTAAAACAGGAAAGCAGCAGATTTTTCCCGAGCTGTGTCATTTGTAGCCACAAAGTTCCTTGCCATCACCCCCCATTAAGATTTGTGTACAGATAAAAAGATTTGATCAAAACAGTCACTCCACTTTACAGTACTTCCCGTGAAGTGCTTTGAAACTTCCTCCCGACATGAAAGGCACTATACCAAATGTAAGGATTATTATATAATATTTGCAATTGAAGTAGTTAAATAGCCAGCCATGATATATTCAACGAAGATAAGCAAAAAGTAAAATGCGAAGTATCACTTCACCAATTGTCAGTTCACTTTGGGGAGGAGGGTTACCAAGGCAATTTTTTTTAAACCCTGAAGTTTGTACAGTTGCATAATAGATTTTTTTTTAGAAAATAATTATGCTGTACACGAACGTGTCATTTTGTTAAATATTTTCCATCCTACTCTAATGATAATAACAAGCCTTGGATTTGACAAAAGCTCCTTATCGCGATATTGAAAGGTCCCAAAAGCACTTCATTGCACTTTAGTGCAAAGTGGAAAATTAAGTGTTTCAATGCACACTTAGAAATAAGGGTAGACTGTGCGGACGCAGCAGCCAATTTACACATAGCAGTGTCCCGTGAACAGCTGTGAAGTGCATAGCCAATTTTATCTGGAGGACTGTTGGTCAAATTATGGAACTTTCTTTCAAAAACCATTTGAAAGAGGGCAGTTTGTTCAAGCCTTGGACTCACATGAGCCACTGCTTTTCCAATTACCACTCCCATGGCCTCCAGCTGCGCTGTTACCAAACCACAAAGGAATATTGTGCACAATCGAACCATCTTATTGACCTCTCCGTCCAGTGCATTGTGTATCCAATTAAAGACACCTAATTGATTGTGGGTGTCGTTCGGGGGGGTCCCACCGATCGTCACACATTGTGGGCACACACACAAAAATACATGTTTGTTCCTCAATACTGGCAATGCATTCTCAAGCACTGGTTGCACGTCTGGTCTGTTCACCCTTCGTTTCCATTCTCCTTTGCAATTGCAATTGTTTTGCACAGTCTCTCTCTATTATATTATATTATGCATTATATTATATCCCCCCCCCCCCCCACCACCCCCTCCCCCCACCACCCCCTCCCCTCCTCTGCCCCAACCACTCCGGCTTTGACAGGTCAAATGCACCTCTGTCCAAAGTGGGAGTGAAGCCAATGCCATTGACGTGGAAGAAACCGAGCACAGCCTTAAAGACCTTTGGCAGCTCAGAACAGCTCAGATCATCACCCAACACCCAACACCAACACCAACACCGGATTAAAACATTTTTTTTAAAAAAAAGCCCAATCCACTCGCGCCCCTGTTTTTTTTTCTGGTCTCCGCCTCGAGTGCTTCATTGCATCGGTGCAAATGCACTTGACTGGGGGAATGGATATATTATATCTATGTATATATGTTATATATATATATATATACGCACACGCACTGCGTGTTTTGCCCGTGTTGTCGGCTGATCCGCAATTTGCAGAGTGCGGAGGGTAAGAAGAAGAAGAAGAGGAGGAGGAGGAGGAGGTGGTGGAGGAGGAGGAGGAGGAGACGTGTTATGCGGGAGAGGAGCGCTCCGCCCAGTCAGTCAGTCAGTGAGAGAGAGAGAGAGAGAGAGAGACGGGAGTTGGGGTGTCGGGGACGGGAAGGGAAGGGAAGAGCCCCATTGCGCCGCCGGGTGAAGAGGACTGGAGTCGGGGGGGAGGAGGAGGAGGAGGGGGTTGCGGGGGGGGAATAAGAATCGTCGGTGCCTGATCCCGGTCCCGGTCCCGGTCCTGATCCGGTGGCGGCTGCAGCAGCGTCGGGGCGGAGCCCGAGCTCTAAAACAACAGAGAGAGAGAGAGAGAGAGAGGAGCAGCAGCAGCAGCGACCCCCCCCCTCCATCCCTCCATCCATCCCCCCCCCCCCCCCCCACACACACACACACACAGGAGGGAGGCTGTCAGGAACCCCGCACCGACGTCTCTGTGCGAGGAGCAGAGCAGCAGCAACAACAACAACAACGACGACAACAACAACAACAGCAGCGAAGCGAAACCAGCGGATGCGGAGGGAGGACGAGGAGGGGAGGAGGTCATCGCTTTAGCACCTGGAGAGAGAGAGAGAGAGGGGGGGAGAGGGGGGGAGAGGGATGGGATGGGATGCGATGGGAATCCGGCGGCGCTGACTCTTCTGCAGGAGAAGAAAAAAGAAAAATCCTTTCCCGTTTTAAGGAATACAATTGTTTTGTAATTGTTGTAACAAAAAGACATCTTCCACCCCTCTCCCCCTCCCTCCACCCCCTCCCCACCGCCTCCCCTCTCCCCTCCCCTCCGCCCTCCCCCTCCCATCAAAAGACCATCGGGATCGTGGAAGAGCGCAGTAGCGATGCCCCGGTGACCGGTCCCCGGTGGAGAAGTCGGCGGGAGAGGAGAGGAGAGAGAACGATGGGAGACGCCGCGGACCCGGTCAGGGACCCGAGGAAGACCTTCATCGTCCCCGGAATCAGAGCCTTCGATCACTACGATTTCTCCAGAGCGAAGACCGTGTGCAGCCTCTCCTGGTTGGTGGCCAAGGCTTTCGGGACAGGTAGGCGGCGCTCTGCTGCAGCATTCCCGTTCCCGGGATAAATTGAGGGAAGAAATGCAGCAAATGCAAAATATATATATGTGTGCATCTACTAAAAAAAAAAAAAAAAAATCGTCTGCCTCCTTTCACCCGCAAAATACTCTTCCCACTTCGCAGGGTATTCCGTGCAGCCGCCTTTTGAGACGTCTCAACGACGCGATGGGGGTCTCAGATCAAATGCAAGGGTCAGCGTTATGATTATCATTGTTGTTGTTGTTATAATAATAATAATCCTTGCATTTGATATAGCGCTTTTCACGTCGGGAGGACGTCCCGAAGCGCTTCACGGAACACACCGCCATACAGTGAATTGACTGTATATTTGTGGGCGAACAAATTATGGCAATAATGGGGGGGGAAAAAAATCCGCTTTTCACCACTGGACTGTTCTGCTCACCGCTTGTTCCATAACACGATTACATTAAGGTTGGAATGCCATCCACTTGTTTACCCTCAACACCACCCACCCACCACCCCCACCCAACCCCCCCAACACACACACACACACACACACACACAACCCCTCCTCAGAAATCTAACTCGCTCTTTTTGTCTGCAATTTTAGAAATATGGAAAATATTTCCCAACCCCCGGGCAAAAATAAAGTTGTTTGGTCACTGACTCCCCCTCCCCTCTCTTGCCCTCTAGAAATTCCTGCTTTTTTTTTTACATTCGCATTTGGGTTTAACCGGATTGTAGGGTCTGGTGGCAGACGAGCAGAAATATTATTGTTTATGTAAGAAATTGAAATGACCTGACTGCAGAGCGAGCGAATGATGGTGCGAAAGACACTGTTGCACATTTAAATTAGATGCTTAATCATTTACTGATAATATTGTAATGACTCGTTTGTAGTTCCTTCCACTATTGTGGAATATTCCATTATCCTTCCTTTGTAGTGATTCTATATTTAAAAAAAGAATCCCTCATTGATTTTTAATTCAATAATTTTAGCAACCGTTTTGGCGATATGTAGTGCTAAGAACATCTCTGGACAGAGGGTTTATATTATAACTGCATTAATAACTCTCTAGATGTATGTACGGTAAGTAAATAGTCAAGGTCAAGGAGAGATGTGTGTGACCCAAAGGGAGGTAATTTGCACTGTGACGTGCAGAATAGTGAATCCTGTGAGATTTAAAGCAGATGAAGAACATTTATTATTTGAAACTGATTTTTTTTTACATAATGTTGATTTTATTTCAATACAGACAGCACACGGGGACAATTAATTCCCTGTTTTGTGCTGAACAAATGAAATGGCACTCAGCGAGTGAAATACGGCATAAAGATTTGCTGCAGTTATTGTCCCATAGTTTGGTAATTATGGCCCCAGATATGAGAAACCAGCTTGTTTTGACGGGTATTAATAGCAGGAATTTCAGCTGTGAAGGGAATCAGCTCGGCTGTAAATGTGTAAATTTAATTAATTACATTTTCCAGTAAGTGTGTTATTTTTCATACAGAATTATGCCTTTGTCTACTGCAGGGTGGCACGTATAAGGTTACAACAATAGCAGTGTCAGGTTGTAGTTAACAGCTAACAATATATTTTCTTGTAGATGTTGTTTAAGCTGTTATGGGAATTTTCTCCATTCACATGATTGTTCTGCTTGAACCATTACAATATTATTATTGTTTTCAGATGCGTTTTATGGTTTGTAAAATACAACCATGATCTTTGGAGCATTCATTTAAAGAGCTTCACTATAATTATTGGTATTTTCTAAATTTGTAATGTATTTCAACTTCCAAAGAGTAACATACAGCAAAATAAATTGTACAGTTACAGTATAGCTCCAATGAGTCATCCACAATCTTGAGGAAACTGTTTATCACAAAAATGGCTCTTTTTAATACCCTTAAATGAAACTAACACCAATTAACTGAGCTCTGTACATGCACAGAACTCTTGGAATATTGGAAGCAGGAAATATAAATAATGCTTCCAATTGTTTTACTTCTGGAAGTGGTTGCTCATTGCTCTCGGCCATTTTAATGATAATAATAATCCTTGCATTTGCTATAGTCCTTGATCACGTCATCAAGATGTCTTAAAGCCCTTCTCAAAATATACTGTAAAGTGGACCGACAGTGGATTTTGTGGACAAAACGGAATAAGGCATACAAAGGTGTTCACCCAGATTTTGCTTTTAATGCCAGAAAAGTAGCTTGATTCGGAGACTTTGAGCTAAGTCATAATTCTCAGCAATCTAGCTTTGATATGTTTACCATGTGACGCTCAGAACTGTTGGGCTTTATGCAGCCCTCCCTTTGGCAAAGGTGTGATAAAGAGACAAGCCCCCCCCCACCCTCATCCATCCTGACCTTTTTTTTAAACCAGCGATTCCAAACAAGGTTATTCATTTACTAAAGTTGCATCTTTTTCTGAAGAGAAGGGAGAAATGTAGTTATCTCGCACCAACCTAAAGATAATACATTAATGTTTTGGATTGCTACAATTTTTATAGTGTATTCACAGGAATGCAGAAAGGTGATGTTTCACTGAGTAGTTGCCACCTTGTGTTTTTCTGGTTATTGTCGCTTTCTTTCAAAGTTCTAATTTTTGCAAGCTGAATGATCCATTTACATTTCGGGTTTGTTGAGAGTTTATCATCGATTACAGTAAGTGTGAGTATCCCTCTGAATGTGCAACATAAGCCGTCTTAAACGCAACCATGATTGTAAAAGTAAGAGACTGGGTGGTTCAGGAAGATTGCCACACAGTTTCCTCTCACTGCTGGGATTTGGCCTCAAATGTGTATAGCACTGATGGAAAGAAAGATTTTTTTCCCCCCTTTGTGTGTGAAATGAGTTTTGACATGTTCAATCCTCAAGTTGACTAATGGAGAAAAATTGCAATGATTCAGACGACGTGCACATACATGTACACCACACATACATGCCTGTTGCATTCCAAAAGCAAGGTGAATTTATTAGATTGGGGAAATATGTAAGTTTAGTCTGAAGGAGCTGAGCTAAATCTGGCCAGTACTATTTTTTCCTGTTTTGAATGGCTCAGATTCAAGGCTCAAAGATATTGTGCCAGCAAATGGGTGGAATGTAACCAGTCAACATATGAACTATTCCATCACAGTGGTGTTGAATGAGTGTGTGTGTGTGCTAGAAATAATGAATTTCTGTAGGAAACTAAGTAAAGTTATTTCCTAGCTTATTAATGTTTTTTAAAATTATTTTATGGTGAATTCCATTTTAAAAGTAGTCCGTTCTATGCTTGTGTGTGGAGTGTTATTGAACAAGAGAGAAGATACTTTCATCTGCATCATGTCTATACCTGACCTTAGAGTACTTCAGTACCAACAGTAGAAATGTGTTCCATTCCCCAGCATTGGTATCTCTTACCTTTGAGTAAAAAGTTAGCAAATTAGTTAAAGTATAGAGCATTGAGGCATTATAATGTAAGAACACATTGATTGCAGTATGACAACAATATTGGCTATTGTCATTATTGGATGGATATGCTGTATAAAGTGTGGGTCTTAACAGAAACCAGAAGTCTATAAGCTTAACATTTTTTGTAATGGTGATACAGTATGGAGAGATGGCAAGAATATTACATGATGTAGCATAGAAATAGTAAAATTCTGAGTTTTGCTGTACTTTGTAAGATTGTAAGTTAATACACTGCTGTATATGAATAGTAATGAGCAAGATACATTTCTTGTGAAACTATGCAGTTTAGTTTGATTTTAGGCCATAAACCAGTTTGGCTTAGATTTGGTTAACATATACAGTTCTGATATCTTGTGCTTCCATAGCAATGAATTTGAGTGTCATTTCAGCATTGCTTGTAAGTAAAGTGCTCTCAGACATGCTTTCGATTACAAAGAAGAGCTAATTTGGTTGAAGAGTTAACGCTGACTTTAATTGATTTTTCAGAAGCTAAAACCTTTCCCATCTTCCTGATGGTAAATGTGAAACACTGACCACTTTGATTGTTGATGTGCTGCAGATAGGAATCAAACACCCATTTTGTTGACAAGAGAATTGTAAAGGTTTTGGCTACTAGCTGCAGTAAAATTGAATTTCTGTTGGCAAGTTCCATTGCTTGGCAATCACTGGTATACATAGGGGTAGAATATGAGTAGCCTTAGGTATTTTGCGGGGAAAATATTAACTGTATAATATTTTAATGTATTATACGAGAACTGAATCTGACATCCCCCTGAGAAGTTAAAGCTGCTACATATGAGGCAAGGGCAAGCAGCTTTCACCCCCACCCCCCACTTTATTTGTAATTCATTTTGTGTTTATGTTCAGTATGGGTTACTGATGCAATGTTTTTTCTCTTTTTAAGACCATGTACCAGAGGAACTGGTGGAGCCATTTTATACCGACCAGTATGACCAGGAACACATCAAGCCACCCGTTGTCAACTTGCTTCTTTCTGCTGAGCTATATTGTCGTGCTGGCAGCCTGATATTGAAGAGTGATGCTGCAAAACCATTGCTGGGCCATGATGCTGTTGTACAGGCTCTTGCACAGAAGGGTCTTTATGTTACAGAACAGGAGAAGCTAGTGACTGAGAGGGATCTTCGCAAGAAACCGATTCAGATGGTAAGTGTTTGAGAGAAGCCAAATTCCATTGAATGGGAGTTGATGCAAAAATTTGCATATTTATGATTCATATCATTTTCCCTTTTATAGTACGTTGCAGTTTAATCTTTGTACCACTTGTAGGTAGATTCTAAAGCTACCGGATATGATAGTGTAGAAATCCTATCTTTCATGGTACCTCTCACAGTTGTGTTCCTAACCTTTAATGATAATCTGATCGAAAAATGGATTACTCTTATGTACCTGAATTCATATTTGATAGATGCTCCGGTTAATGTAAGCTTTAAGATTAAATCAGACATTATCTTCTATACTATGAAAGAGCATTCAAATATATGCCACACAAGTTGATGGTAAGCATTAATATTAAATCAAACATTTTCTTCTATATTATGAGAGAGAATTCAAATATATGCCACATTGGTGACTGGGAGGGGATATTTTCTTGAGTTATAATGGGTAAATTCCACACTTAGCAACATGTTTACTTGGGAATTTGTGCAATGGTAGGTTGTGTCTGATCTTGTATCCGATTTTCAGTTGGAAAGCGCAAAGGCTTTATGGCACCTTAGTCACATTTTTTTCTATGTAGAAGTGTGGATTGAAGATATGGAAAAATATGGACAGCATTTCTGAATTCTATGTATTAGAAAGGTACATATTTTGTATGTATTGTCATCCATTGAGAGCTACGCATTGTATACTGATTCTGCTAACCTCCGATGCGCGCTCCTGGATTCCAATTTTCTGTGAATCGGAGGCCAGAGGTATCAATTGAGATTTCACTGACTCTGATCCTTGTAGGGAAAAGTCAACAAATTAAAAAAAATTAGCTGAAATTTTTTTTCTGACAGGCTTCTTTCGCTTATAGCTCAACTTTGAAGATGTTTTACTTGCCCACTTATCTTTCGTATGTTGTTCAGTTTCTGACTCAGTGGGAGAATGACGTAGGATGTTGATAAATGAAGGTGTAACCTCAACTATTGTTGTCGATTGGTGATGTCAAGCAGGTTTGAAAAATGGTTGTGCGTTTTATTGATCGCTCGACTTTACAGCAGCTATTTAAGTAGCCATGTAATGAGGTAGCCTTGTCTTTCTTATAAATGGTTTGCTGGGTTTTAGTCCGTAGAAAGGCCTCAAGTCGTCCCCCTCCCTGTTAATGTCTCTGGTGCATTATAAGCTTGCTTACTGAAAATGGACAATGTTAAAACACGTTGATTTCATGCTTCCTGTCTGACTACTCATGATACCAGTGATATGAAATTTTGTTCAGTCCTTTGCACAATGATGTGGTGACCTATATTCCATTTGTGTACTAAATGTCAAGCAGATTACAGTTTTGGAGCTGATGAACAATGCACCTCTGAAGCATACATAAATTATACTGTACTTGATTAGATCTTAATGCTGTTGAATATAATCTAAAGTAAAACTGATGTGGTCATACGTTTTGATTTTTTTAATAATCAATCCATCTTTCTAATCAATGTGTAAAGTGTTTGCTGTAAAAAGAAAATGATTCTGAATTAATATATTAATCCTTTAAGATCAGATGACATGGCTAGTGTATTAGGGATTGGAAATCCCAATTCTCAAAACCTTCACTAAACACCAGATAAGTTGTTTGGTTCCAGTCTGCTGTACACATCCTTTTACAGGATGCCAATAGCTGAAGATGTAATGGCAACAAATTACATTTATGTAGTGCCTTTCAAATCAGGAGGATGTCCCAAGGCATGTATTCCTGGATGAAGAAAAACGTTGATTTGCTTTCTGTCTATTTGTTAAAAATGACCAGAACTGGCATTAAAAATGGATAAGTGTGGGGACATACCCAATAATGCTTGGCAAAGACATAAAGAATATGAACAAAAATGACAAACAACTGAGTATTCTGGCTTTGCTCCATAATTGCACCTCTGTAGATTTAGACTCCAGCAAAAGGATATGTTCTGGAAGAGTTTCTCATTTATTTCAGCTGTAATATTCCTCAGTAAATGTGGGCAGGAACTGCTAGCTAACAACTCTGTCAAATTGTTTCAATTCACAGATTATCATTACAATGAGAATTTGTTTTTTTGCAATATAATTTGTTTACTCACTTGCTAGTAATTGTATTGCAATCTATATTTATAAATAAACCCTTCCCTTGTTTGACTTCAGTGGACTCCCTTAATACTAAATATTAAAACAGGTCATTCTGTAACAAAATACTGTAGTTATTTTGACACAATCATAGTTACAGTGTGGTTGCTTTATGCAACATTCAGAGTCTGTTTACCTTTTTGCTTTCTTTGTATCTCTGCTGTTAATTGAACCTAGTTCACACAGTTCACTTTTGAAGAGCAGATAGGTGTTGGGCAGACATATACCTAAAGGAATGACAGTAGACATTTCCCTTGTTTTGGTTTCTTTTCTAATGTTACATTGACAGCCATTGCTTTTGCCACAAGATGTTTTATTAGAAAGATTTAAATAACAAGATTAAATGGCATTTATTTGAAACACTTCTCTATTTTCAGTATGTTTGCTGGTTGGTTTGGTGCCACAGGCTCCTCTGCACTGCAGTCCATTTTTGACAACCACTGCATTACTATATAAATAATAATCCTTACATTTGTTATGGTGCTTTGTCATCTCATTGAGATCTCAATGTGCTTCACAAGAATTACTGTACTGTAACGTTTATCAACTATGCATTTTATCAGTGAACTCAGCAGCCAATTGGTACACAGCAATGTCTCAAATAATGGCCATGGTGTGAATGTCCAATTTTTATTTGTGCAATTGTTGGGCAAGACATCAGGAGAAATTCCTTTCTCTGTTTGAGTAGTGCCATGGGATCTTTAATGTCTATCCGAACTGGCAGACAAGGCCTCAGTTTAAAGTCTCATTCGAAGGACAGTGCAAGGAGGAAATCTGTTCTGTTCAGTACAGGAAACAAAGTTAACATCAATAGGTTGCCTTGCCTCTTTTCTTCCTTCACTCCATTCAGCCCCTCCTTCCACCCCCACCCACGCACGTGGGGACTCACATATAGTCATGGTCAGACTCGGCAGGCATTGTAATGAACAAAAATAATTTCTGCCAGTTTATCTTCTGAACTAATGATTTCTAATTGACTTATTTCCAGTAAAGGCTACAAAGCCATACTTTTTTATCCAAATAAAAAGGTTGGTGGAGGAGAGGATGAATCTGTTCTTTGCATGAATTTTTTCCAGGAAAAATATTAAGTATCACTTGCAGTCTTGCTTGAGGCTTTAAACCTACACCCTCTAATTATGCTCTTGCAGTCTTAACCTGCTTACCTACCCCTTTGATGCTACTCCTTGCTTTAAATACCAGAGTTATGTTCCCCCTCAGTCTTTTTCTAATAAGGTCATCTCAACAAGCATCTCCTCATAACAAAAAGTTATTTTTCCTGATATCAACCTTATTGCTCTTTAACACGTTGCCTCTTGGAATGGCAGTCTTATATTTCTTTGAAATCGTTACCTCCTCCTCAATAATGTAATCAAACAAGTTGAGCCACATTTAAGAACTCTCATTTTGAATGTTTACTTTCCTTAGAGTAGTCTTAATTAGAAGCAGGGTGGTAAAAATGATTTTTAACAACAGTGGTTCAAAGTAAAGATTACTTGCCACTTGAGTTTAAATATGCGAAGATGCAACAACAACTTGCACTTATATAGCACCCTCCACACAAGGTAGCGTCTCAGAGCACTTAACAGTGGCAGAGCCTGACTCCGAGGAGTGGGGAGGGGGGGAGGTGGCCGTAAGCAGGGTCAAAGAGGAAGGGACAGGGCTGTGTACCAGGACAACTGACTTGGTGGAGAGAAAAAGAGTTTTTCCAGACTTCCATCAAGTTTTTAGCAACATTCAGAAACAAAACTTGTGCTGTTTAACTTCAGACATTCAGTCTGAAATGTCATGGAATTGAATGAACAAGAAATACGTGTGTGTGTGTGTGACGAGAGGTGTGCCAAAACATCGTATTTTAAAAAGAGGCGTAGTTCCAGTTTGTCATGCCTTAACCCCCTCAAAACAGAAATTTTCAAACTGGATTGTTACTTGTACTGCTTCTATGAAGGTACATTGGATATAGATGTCCATTGGCATTATTTTTGTAAAGAATGCCTTAAATGGCTGTTCATTGGTCATTTACTTGGTCACTTCATGTTTTTTGTGAAGCACGACTGCGTGCAAATTGGCTGCCATGTTTGCCTACAAATACAATCACTACATTTTGAAGTAAATCCTTTGAAGCACTTTGCAGTGCCATGGTGTTGTGATAAGGTGCAATATTAAATGCTATTATCATTACTACTGTCTGCTAAATCTATACAATAATGTGGATAACCAGCAAGCATGAATCTTGCCCTGTTCTGGAGTCCTACATATGGAGTGAAGGTGAGTCCAATATGCTTGGCCATGTTCCAAATATTCATGAAAATGAATCTGCAGCATATAATTCTCCATAAATTTGGCTCTCATTTTTCAGCCTCATTTAGAGGGGCCTCAAAGATGACTGGTTTGGAAAGGGAAAGTGTGATACCTTTATAGTATGTACAGTATGTGTTTTTCCAAGACTCTAATTCAATAACATTGGTTGAACACAGAGGAGCTTTACACTGAATCTAACCCATAACCATACTTGGAACTGCTTCATGCTGACACCTGCAGACATTGGACAAATATTCCATTCCCTAACTCTTAACACGCTGGCCCAAATAATTTACTTTACTCAATTCATCTGCTCTTGCACAATTATAATAGATGACATTTTCAGTCAGTGGGTGGCCAGGAATGAATCTCTGATTTGAGATGTTGTATGCTTGCTTTCAATATGTTAGTTTGTTCTGTTTTAGTGGCTGTGCAGTGGTGAATCACTGTATTGCAGGCACGGTATACAATTTATAGTACAGAAGCTACTGACGCATGGTTTTAAATACTGCAGACAAAAGAAAAAAATCAGACTGTTTGTTGTAGAGGCTGTAAAG